AATAATTACTTCTTTGTTTTTTGTATAAAACATTTATTAAAACGTTTTTAGATATATGGGTATTTTGCCTAATGGAGTTTTTTATGTCGTAACAAAAAAAATCAACCGTTTTTCAATCGACAAACAGATTAAGTTTTACAGATGGGTGCCAGATTCTCAGACCACAATGAAATATCCATCCATTTTCTTCCCCTTAATCTCCATTTCTGGGTCGGGGGGTGGCATTCAGAGCTGCACCCAGGCCCCAGTAGCCCCAGCCCCTCACTGACCTCCTGCAGGTAGCTGAGGTCCACAGGCCTTGATCTTATTCAGCAGGGGGCTTTCATGCAAAGTGGGGTTAATGTCTTGCCCAAGACCAACGGCAGCATTCATCAGTGGACCACAAGAAACAATAATCCCATAAAACCCATCAGCAATAAAAAGTAAAAGTTTGGCTGTATAGAAAGTGCCCTGATCGAGCGAATGCGTTTTAGGTTAAGCAAAAGACAGACAAATCTTCAGAAATGTGACAGAAAAAGTCACCGTCGTTCATAGCACCAAAGGCGAACCCTACACCCAGTATATTTAACACCACTGAGGTATGGAGTGGAGAATGACACTGTCCCCAACCCATGACCCAAGACAAGGCCTAATAATAACAATAAAAATAATAATGATAATGAAAATAATAATAATAATAAGAATCAACATAATAACAAATGATAGGATAAATCAATTATTATTGTTATTATTCATATTTAAGATCTTTTTTCCAGTATATCAATATGGCTTTATTAAAACAGGTCGCTCTGTGCCAGGACTAGACCACTTTGACGTGGGATTTTTAATAAATGTAAAATAGTGTTTTAGTGTTATAGTTTTCAATTTATAGTGACAGAATTAGCAAATATAGAATGGTAATATTGGGTGAAAAACAATTAACACTCAACACTGTTATTTCTTTTAACTGTGTACCCTTTTACTGGCTACCTCGAGGTGCCATATAAAATAAAAATGTATTTTATGTATTAAATTATTTCCAAGTACACACACACAAGCCTAGACCCAAACACTCTCTGACCCTACACCTCTCTCCTATCGTTTCTACTCTTTAAAAATTACACTAAACATGTTTTTTTAGGCTCTGCTGTATTTCTGTGCGTTGTCCTCCTTTCATATCCGCTGGGTAACACCATCACTCATGTTTCCAGATAAAAATCTTTTGTCTCTGGGTTTTGAGTCCAAGTTTACGGCATCACCGATGACGAAGAGTGTGCGAGTACCATGAGAACTTCTCGGGCGACACTCCCACTGGTACATCCAGGATTACATGCCCGGGGCCAGGAACCAGTTTTCAACAGGCCTTCAGTGAACGTGAAGGTACAGTTGGTTCATGTGAGAGGCAGAATCACCCACATTCCTATACATAACATATAAAACTGTCCATTCACCTTTGCCCTTCCGCGGGCGGTTATCCCTCTCTAAGCTCGGGTCCTCTACCAGAGGCCCTGGGAGCCTGAGGTTCTGCTCAGTATCTTGCTGTTCCTAGCACTGCACATTTCTGTGACCCATGTCCTGAGGTTGTTCCAGGGATCCACCAGTAACCTCTTCTAGCTTCGGGTCACAGCCCCCCGAGTGCACCGAACACCACGGCACTACTGTCACCTTTTACCCTCCAGGCCCTCCTCCCGCTCCTCTCTGAGACCTAGGTATTTCTCAAGATTTTCATGTCCTTTTTCCGGAAAAGATGGCGGCGGTGAAAAAGGATGCGTTTCCGCTCTTCTGCGGATTTTGCTTGTTTTACCACTCCACGGACTGGAGACAGCAGTGGGGTGAAAAGATGAACGATGCGTTTGCCGCAGGACCCCTTCTCAGTTTCAAATTGCATTCCGAGGGTACAAGCGGGTGTTATAGAGTATACGCAGGCCTTATACCAGCGTTTACCCAAGACACCGCATTAGAAGGAGAGAACTATCTTCCCATACCCCTGAAAGGCACCTAGCTTTCCTACTTGTCCGATTTCAGCGGCGGGCGTGCACGGTTGGCTGAGTGGAAGCACACTCGCCTCTCCAGCATGAAGGACCTGGGTTCGTATCCAGGTCGGACCAGGGCCTTCTGAGTGGAGTTTTGCAATGTCGGGCCCCATGTCTGCGTAGGTTTCCTCCTGGTACTCCGTTTCCCTACCACTAAAAATATGTCAAAAGTTTCTGCATGTCCTCTGATACTGCCCCTCCCATCTCTGTGTGGAGTGAGAGACAAATGCCCAAAATAACAATTGTAAACCGCTATTAGAGACTCAGATCTGTAGTGAAAAAGGCGGTATATAAAAATAAATATTACTTACATACTTACTTTCGCTTGGAATTGCCACGTCCACCCCCACGGCTGTCCTCTCCCTTTGTCCACCACCCCGGCTTCCACTGCCCATTGTCCACCAACCACGGCTGTCCTCTACCTTATGTCCACCACCACAGGCGTCCTCTACCCTTTGACCACCACCACGGCTGTCCCTTCTGCCCTGAGTCCACCACCATGGCTGTCCTCTGCCCTTTGTCCACCCACCACGGCTGTTCCTCTGCCCTTTGTCCCACCACCACGGCTGTCCTCAGCCCTTGTCCCACCACCACGCTACCTCTCCCGTTGTCCACCACCACGGCTGTCCTCTGCCCTTGTCCACCACCACGGCTGGTCCCTCTGCCCTTTGTCCACCACCACGGCTGACCTCTGCCCTTTGTCAACCACCACGGCTGTCCCCCTCCTGCCCTTTGTCCACCACGGCTGTCCTCTGCCCCTTTGTCCACCAACACGGCTGTCCTCGGCCCTTTGTCCCACCACCCACATGACGGGTTGGTTTCATACCATTCGGTCGTTCTGTATCTGGAAGTCCCACAGATCTTTGCTCATTTTCCACCACCTTTGGAGGAGTTTCCCACTTATGACCTTGGGGATTCCAGCCCATACACTGGGCACAGAAGTTTCTGTACACTATGCAGCCACTTGGTTATGGCTTCAATGTAGCCTTCCCTGCCAGCATCTTGCACCCTGCAGTTTATGTGTTTGGAGTAGTCGTCAGGTGCTCTTTGCACAACCGACACCTTGGTCTTGTCTGTGTGGTAATCTGGGCCTCTATCGCTCTGGGCTCAGTGCCTGTTCCTGTGGCCCATGATGATGCCTCTGGTTGGTCCTGTAGGCAGCCCCATTCTAGCCATTTGGTAGACTTCTTGAGATCAGCCCACTTCTGTTATGCTCCGGTGGTACATGCCGTGTAGGGGGCTTGTTCTCCCATGATGGTCTCTCCTCCAGCACCTCCTCATCTCGCTCACTGTCCTGAGACATTCACTGAGTACTCATCCGTTTGGCCTTCTCCAAGAATGTAGTTAGGAGTATGGATGTTTTCTCCAGGACAGTGTGCTCTCCACTCACTAGTCCTCGGCCCTCCTTCTTTAACGGCTTACGTACAGTCACAGGGTGCTGGATTTTGGAGTAACCCGCCATGCATGGTAAGGAGCTTTCGAGTTTTAACATCCGTGGTCTGAATCGAGTACTTCCAACCGGTCCAAAAGTATCTCAGTATTTTGTCACACGCACAACACAGCAAAGTTGGCCAAACCGAACCCCGCGGTCCTTCCTTGTTTTTATGCGCCGAGAGTAGGGCGCACAAATGTGACGTCACGCGTCGGGTCACGTGGCACACGGATTTTGGTGAGAAATTATTGTATTCTATGATTTATCATGTATTCTTTCTGTGTTGGTTTTTATTTTCATTTGTGATAATATATTATGAATTTAGGAATTATGTTGATAATCAAAAATGTTTCTATTTGAAGAGAAATTGTTATTATTTGTATTGATTGGTTTGGGGGGAGGAGCTTCAGGGTATAAGGCAGGGCTGTCAGAGCCACAATGTGTGTGGAAGCTGGATGATGAGGATGCTGTGCACTGCTGGCACAACGCTCCAGAGCTGTACTCCCTGATGCCCTGGTGGGTAGTCTCTGTACATCAATCAATCAATCAATCAAATTTTATTTATAAAGCGCTTTTCATACATAAGATGCAACACAAAGTGCTTTACAGATTGGTTAAAAACAATCCCGCCGACCCAAGACCCCTCCCCCAGACCACCCAACAGACCCACCCCAAACCACAGACAAACACACACACGCGCTCATGAACACTCATACACACACACACACACACACACACACCAGTAAAACAATAAAAACATGATGAGAGACTTGGCAGGGTTCAGATGCAACCAGCTGAAAAAGCGTCATCCAAGGAGCCGTCTGCACCAGGAGCAGAGAGCCGCCCGTAGCCACAGGGGACGACACAGGACCCAGAGGAGACATGAAACCGAGGCCCCAGGCCCCCACCAGGTCCAAGAGTCCGACCCCCGCAGCCACACCGACCACTGCTCCCGGTGCAGAGGGCTCCTCCAGAGGAAACACTGGGTACACTAAAAACAATACAATAAGTAAAACACTAAAATGTGAGACTAAAAGGAACACACAATACATGAATAATAGCAATAGCAATATAATAAATAATAAATAATAAAAGATAAATAGAATGGAATAATAAAAACTAATCAAAAGCTACTCTAAAAAGGTGCGTCTTGAGCCTACTTTTAAAAATATGAACGTTCTCTGCGGCCCTGAGCTCCTGTACATATTCTTTTGGTCACTACTGGGTTTGCCCTCACTTGCTGCAGCAAAAATAAACATCTGCACTAAAGAAATATAACCTGACCAGACCATATCATTTTGTTTGCATTTCTTTTGAGAACCCGCGACATTTTTGGTGTCAGAAGTGGGATATGGCTGGTTGCAGAAAAGGACTGTGGCCCCGCAAACTTGAAGAGGACTTTTTGGAAAGGCAGAACGAGGGAGAACATGGAGACTCTGAACCATCATCCCCGTCATTTCAGCCAGTTGGTGAGCTGGTGGCTTTATTAAAGGATTTTTTAAATGGACAAGAGAGGAGAGAGGAAGGACTGGTGGCGGAGCTCAGAGAGTTACGGAATGCACTCCCAGCTGCCCAGGCCCCTCAGACTCCAACACATTTTCGGTTTTCGGAGGAATGCCCAAGCAGCTACACTGAAGCGGCTACTGGAAGCGCACATCTTGGACTTCCGACCCCTGGTGGCACTAGAGTCGGGGTACCTCCAGATGAGCGTGAGACAGTGAGGCCGCTGGGTGTTTCCTGGAATGCGGAAAGGGATGCTGGACCCGAGTGGAGACACTTCAGTGATCCAAAAATTCCACCGTTCCAACCCAGTGAGGACATTGAAAACTACCTGCTCAGGTTTGAACGTATTGCCAAGACCTGGAGATGGCCAGAGACCGAGTGGGCTTGCCGGCTGGTCCCACTCCTCTCTGGGAAGGCCTTGGATGCATACACGGCAATGGATGAGGGGGAAGCGCATAACTATACTCACCTGAAGGCGGCGCTCCTCACCAAATTCGATATTTCCCCGGAGACGTATCGGCAGCGCTTTAGAGCCACCGGAGTTCCTGCTGGAGAGACGCCCACGGAGACCTACCATCGGCTACGAGGACTCTACCGTCGCTGGATTCGCCCCGACATCCTGTCCAAGGACGCGATCGGTGAGCTCATCGTCTTGGAGCAACTGCTGTGTGTGCTTCCGCCGGACGTCCGTATGTGGGTGAAGGAGCACAACTTGGAGGACGGCCTTACAGCAGCGAAGTTAGCTCTTCAGTACCAGAACGCGCATCGAGGATTCACACGCTTTCCCAGTTCGAGTCAACGTCCAGCACCACCACCAGGACCACCTTCTGCACCACCCCCGAGACCAACCCAAGATGTGAGAGGTACCAATTTCCAGTCAGCACCCGGTAAGACCCTGATTTGTTTCTATTGCCAGCAGGCGGGACATAAAGCTTCAGTATGTCCCATGCGTAGGGGTAAGCTAACTGGGGCTTGCTATGCTCCTCGACCTGAGACTGAGTTAGTAGGAACCAAGCTGACAAAAACTGAAAAACTGGTTACTGTTAACGGACAGCCAGCTATGGCACTACTGGACAGTGGGAGTTTCACTTCCCTGATTAAGAGAAGTTTAGTTCCTATGGGCAGTATAGACTATAGCGCTAAAACGGATGTTGTTTGTGTCCATGGAGACTGTCACCTCTACCCGAGATCCAACGTCTCTATAGAACTGGATGGACAAGTATATCTACTGACTGTAGCCGTAGTTGACAACCTGCCAAAAGACTTGATCCTCGGGAATGATTTCCCTCTGCTGATGGACTTATTGCAAGGGACAGGGAGTGACTTTGGGGGGACTTCGAGTTCAGTTGGTAATATTGCATGTCCGGTTGTAACACGTTCCCAAGACCAGGTTACTGGCCTCCAACCTCTGCCTGATTTGGATGTTAGTCTGTGCGAGGGAGGGACTAAGGGCCCAGGTAAATCCAAGCGGCAGCGCCGTTTTGAGAAAGGGTTAGCTGTGACAGATACCAAAGGGCTAATTGCTGATGGGTTGTGGGATGTACCAGGGGACATTGCTTGTTTACAGAGACAGGATACCTCTTTAAAACATTTGTTTGATAAGGTGGTTGCTAGTCCAAACCCTGTGTCCAGCAAGGAACAGTTTGTAGTGGAGGAGGAAATTCTGTATGCATGTAATGAGGGTCGCAAACGTCTGGTTATCCCTGCTAGCTGTAGACAGTTAGTGTTACACCTCGCACACACGCTTCCCTGGGCTGGACATTTAGGCCGTCACAAAACATTCTTGCGGGTCAGCACACGATTCTTTTGGCCAGGCATGTATACTGACGTCCAGGCATACTGCACCACATGTCCAACATGTCAGCTCACCGGGTCTCCTCGCAAATCCGACAGGGCACTACTGCAACCTCTCCCCATTGTCTCTGTCCCATTTCGCAGAATTGCCATGGATATAATCGGTCCACTGCCACGGAGTGGGCGAGGTCATCAATACGTCCTCGTCGTGTGCGACTACGCCACTCGTTTCCCGGAGGCTTTTCCCCTTCGGACTATTACAGCGCCTAGTGTGTTACGAGCCCTGGTTCAGCTGTTCTCGCGAGTCGGCATCCCAGATGAAATCATCACCGATCAAGGCACAAACTTTACATCTCGGCTGCTTAACCTGTTCCATAAACAACTTGGCATTTCCGCCATCCGAACCACCCCTTATCATCCACAGACTGATGGACTAGTGGAGCGGTTCAACCAGACGCTCAAAAAGATGCTCCGGAAGTTTGTGGACGACTCGGGAAAGGATTGGGACAGATGGCTTCCTTTTCTGTTGTTCGCCTACAGAGAGGCCCCACAGGAGTCCACCGGCTTCTCACCGTTTGAACTTTTGTATGGGTGGGATGTACAGGGACCGCTGGATCTGCTGGAATCTCAATGGACTGCACCCGACACCAAGCAGAGTGATCGAAGTGTTGTGCAATTTGTGCTCCAGATGAGGGACAAACTGGATCAGTATCGGGAGGAGGCAGTAGAGAACTTGCGAGAAGCTCAGAGGAAGCAGAAGCGGTGGTATGACAAGCGGGCCAGAGACAGGACTTTTGAATCCGGGCAAAAAGTGCTGCTTCTTCTACCTTCCTCCAACAGCAAGCTGCTGGCCAAGTGGCAGGGCCCTTACCTTATCACCAGGCGTATGGGACCTGTCACCTACCAAATCCATCACCCAGACAAGAAAAAGTCCCACCAGACGTATCACGTGAATCTGTTAAAGGAGTGGAAAGAGCCAGTCGCTCCTGAAGCAACTGCCTCCCTTCTCGTACAAGCAGTTGAGATGGAGGAAGAGGACGATCCTGATGTTTCCATTGTCACTGAAGTGGTGAGTACCCCGAACTTGTCCCACCTTACCACCAACATGATCACCCAGCTCAGGCAAGTTTTTGAGGAGATGCCAACCCTGTTTTCCGCTAAACCTGGTCAGACTGTAGTGATCGAACACACCATCCGACTGAAGGACCAGACACCGTTCCGTCAGAGGCCCTATCGTGTTCCCCAAAAGTTGGTCGAGCAGCTGAAGAAGGAGATAGAGGCTATGATGCAGTTGGGGGTGATCGAACCATCCAGCTCTGAATGGTGTAGCCCGGTCGTCATAGTGTACAAGAAGGATGGTACACTCCGGATATGCATTGATTTCCGGAAGCTTAATGCAGTCTCTGAATTCGACGCATATCCGATGCCTCGCATTGATGAGCTGTTGGAACGGATCGGCTCTGCCCGCTACATCACCACCCTTGATCTGTGCAAGGGTTACTGGCAGGTGCCTCTGGATCCCAGCTGTCGGCCCTACACTGCCTTTCGCACTCCAGCTGGCCTGTTCCAGTTCACCGTAATGCCGTTTGGTCTACATGGAGCACCTGCAACATTCCAACGGCTGATGGACAAGGTCCTGGAGGGCTGTAGTGAGTGTAGTGCCGCATATCTTGATGACGTGGTGATCTACAGCCAGACATGGGACGAACATCTCAGGCACTTGAGGAAGGTCTTGGGGAAGATCCAGAGTGCAGGGCTCACCCTAAATGTCAAAAAGTGTGAGTGGGCCCGAGAAGAGGTGCGCTATCTGGGCTATCAACTCGGCCATGGCGAAGTCCGACCCCAGGTCGACAAAGTGGAGGCGATAAGGAACTGTCCAAGACCCAGAACCAAGAAAGAGGTGCGGTCTTTCTTAGGCCTTGCTGGATGGTACAGACGTTTTGTTCCCCAGTTTTCCACGATTGCTTTTCCCCTTACCACCCTCACCACGAAGGACCAAAAGAATCCGGTGAACTGGACTGAGCAATGTGAGGTAGCTTTTAAGACACTCAAAGACTTTCTGTGCTCTTCACCTGTCCTTCGAAGTCCAGATTTTACCCAGAACTTTGTGGTTCAAGTGGACGCCTCTGCCGTGGGACTGGGTGCTGTACTAGTCCAAGGAGATCCAGGTGAAGAAAGGCCCATTCTGTACCTGAGCAGGAAGTTGCTGCCAAGAGAGGCGAGGTACTCCGTGGTGGAAAAGGAGGGTCTCGCCATCAAGTGGGCCCTTGAGAGTCTCCGATACTATCTCCTAGGGCGAGAGTTTATCCTTGAGACGGATCACCGGGCTCTCACCTGGATCAACACCATGAAAGACCACAACGCCAGGCTGTCGCGATGGTACCTTTCCCTACAGCCTTTTAAATTCACCGTGCGTCATCGGAAGGGCACGGCCAATGTTGTTGCGGACTATCTGTCTCGGTTGCCCAACCTTGGCAACCTTGGGAAGGGGAAGAATAGTGTGACGGAGTAACCCCGTCAGCTCGCGGGTGAGAGGAGGCCACGGCGTGAACACGCGCACACACACGCACACACGCATGCACACACATACGTTCATACACGCTCATACAGACTTACCTGTTTCCTCCTGCATGTCTCTCTCATAGCGTCAGTCTAGGGTGCACACTTGGCTGGCGTTCAATCACTCTATAGTCCATAGTACTTCCAACCGGTCCAAAAGTATCTCAGTATTTTGTCACACGCACAACACAGCAAAGTTGGCCAAACCGAACCCCGCGGTCTTCCTTGTTTTTATGCGCCGAGAGTAGGGCTCACAAATGTGACGTCACGCGTCGGGTCACGTGGCACACGGATTTTGGTGAGAAATTATTGTATTCTATGATTTATCATGTATTCTTTCTGTGTTGGTTTTTATTTTCATTTGTGATAATATATTATGAATTTAGGAATTATGTTGATAATCAAAAATGTTTCTATTTGAAGAGAAATTGTTATTATTTGTATTGATTGGTTTGGGGGGAGGAGCTTCAGGGTATAAGGCAGGGCTGTCAGAGCCACAATGTGTGTGGAAGCTGGATGATGAGGATGCTGTGCACTGCTGGCACAACGCTCCAGAGCTGTTCTCCCTGATGCCCTGGTGGGTAGTCTCTGTACATATTCTTTTGGTCACTACTGGGTTTGCCCTCACTTGCTGCAGCAAAAATAAACATCTGCACTAAAGAAATATAACCTGACCAGACCATATCATTTTGTTTGCATTTCTTTTGAGAACCCGCGACACCAGAGTTCTGACCACAGACATAGACACAGACCTAACGGACTTCCCAGAGTTCTGACCACAGACACAGACACAGATCTAACGGACTTCCCAGAGTTCTGACTGTGGCAAGCTGGACTTGGCCACCATATTTCTGTCCAGTAGAGGGCGCCTACGCCCAGTATAAATAGCCTAGATTTACGTCTTTTGTTTACCTCTGCACTTCCGTCTCTTGTGTGTCGTCGCGCCAGCCCTCCTCCTGCTCCAGGTAGTAGTTTTAGTGTCAATTTTAATAATTCTAAGATTCAGCCACTAATGTTGACTTGTTGTTGTAGTGCCGCGGTGTGGCATTGTGCCCCGCGGCCACGCTGTCCAGTCGCTTTGGTGTCTGGCCGCCCTCATTGCTGGGGTCCGAGTGCGTCGTAGCCGGCTGTTGGTCTGGGCCTGTAAACCGCTACTCGTCAAGAGTGCGCGCTCAGTGTTGGCTGTGGAAATGTAGGTCTTAGCTGCACACACTGACAGCATTGTGGTTATGATAATTTAACTCTACTTTAATTCGTAGGCTGAGGACTGGCCACACCGCGGCCCACCGCTGTTTCTCCCGCTGTCTCTCGTTCTTCACCATGTTGTATGTTTCCGTGGTGTGTTGTTCACCTGTACCTTTGCGACAGGAGATGTGACAACGCGTGAAACCTAAAGAGAACTATCACAACTTAATAAATCAAAGTAAACGTAATGTCTATGCCTCTCAATTATGATTTACGAACCTGTGCGCCTTAGAGCGCTTTATATTTTATTTTGGGCACTTTGCCCTGGCGTTGCTGGTTTTTCTTTCTCATTTATATTTTCATATTCTTTAAGGAGCGCGTAGCAGCCTCCACATTGCCACATGACCACAGACACAGACACAGACCTAACGGACTTCCCAGAGTTCTGACCACAGACACAGACACAGATCTAACGGACTTCCCAGAGTTCTGACCACAGACAGAGTTGCACACTGACCTGGGCACGCTCCTCAGCTGCAGACCGGAGCCGCAGACGCCGACGGTCGCCATGACACCGGAAACATCCACCACAGACGCGACCACAAGAGGGCGCTGTCCCCGTCTCTCTGTGGATGATGTTCAGTCCGTGGGTAAACGGCGGAGACAGTGGCTGTGTCCGTTAATATTTACAGTCACCGTCTGTTCCTCCACATTAGAATGAGTCTGGTGTGTGTGTGAATGCGGCTTCGCTTCTGTCAGTGTGCCCCAGGGCAGCTGTGGCTACAGTAGTTTATCACCACCGTGTTTAGAGAGAGAATAATTATGTGAAGAGACTTTGAGAGTCCAGAAAAGAACTGTATAAAACCAACGCATTATTATTATATACAGTCTATAGTCAGTATTGAGCATGGATCAAGATTCAAATAAATGTTTTATTATTTATACATTTGTACATATTTTATCCAAAGATGAAAAACAGATTTCACCGTTAATTGTTTCAGAATGTATTAAACAAAACTCTTCTGTCCTCTCCCAGATTTGCTTTGTTGATAAAACTACTATAACGTATTTTTAAAGTGCAAGAATCCAACGTTAGTCTAAAGTTAAAGAAGCAATATGTAAGATTTTCATATCATTAAAGGGCCCTAATCTGTCAGTAAACAGAAATCAGATATTTGAATTTCTAAATTACTTTTCCAGCCCCTAAATCTTGTTATTGTTTTCATTTCGATGTCCCGCCCTCCACCGTTTCACCAATCAGAAAGTCTGTGATCCGGGCGCCAGAACTCACCGCGTGGAGCTAATCTCACTGGTAAAGTACCATGTGGAGCTAATCTCACTGGTAAAGTACCATGTGGCGCAGAACTAAAAAAGGTCTCGTTATGATTCTCAAATCATTAACGACAAAACAAGGAATAAAACCAGGATTTCTATCTTTGTGAAAAAAGTGTTGGTTATAGATTTGTTGTTGACTAAACTCTTGTCTATTCAGCTGTTATGGTCCCAGCTGGATTCGTCTGCATATCTGGCAACCTGAGTCAGGGAGAGTGGGAGAGGCTGCAGTACCACTTTACTTTTACATATTGCTCCTTTAATGCTGAGAACAGAAGTAAATAAGTGAATATAAAGTAAAGAATGCACAGAATCCTTCAGACATGAATCTACAGCGTCACATAAATAGTGTCATAAAAATAACAAAATACAATTTTAAGTTTACACAAAACAGTGATTAAACTTTAGATTTGGTAAAAACAAACTAACGAGTATCGAGTTAGTCTGGGGTTTATTTTTGGTTTCGTAGAAGTTCGTTGATTTGAGTTTTGTACATGTTCTTCACGTCCTCCAGGTCCAGCCTCAGCTCCTGAGCCTCTTCTGCTTTCTCTCCGTACATCTGTAGAATGGTGTTGTGCCGCTGCTCCAGGTCCTGACCACAACAACATCTTCATCATCATCATCATCATCAATATTATCATCATCATCATCAATATTATCATCATCATCAATATCATCATCATCATCTTCATCATCAATATCATCATCATCAATATTATCATCATCTTCATCAATATCATCATCATCATCTTCATCACATCTGTTCCTTGTTTGATATCTAACTATTTCTAAAGTTGTGTTGTGTAAAAGTTGTAGAATAAATGAGTGTTATTTCCCAGAGAGAAGAGAATGACCATCAATGACCATCAATGACCATCAATGACCATCAATGACCATCAATGACCAGTTCATAATCATCATTTTAATCATTTTAGGGGCCACTGAAAAGGGTCTTGTGGGCCAGATTTGGCCCACGGGCCTGAGTTTGTCATGTGTGTTTAAGAGCAGTCTGCACTTTGTACTTGTTTTATATTTCATGTGTTTTTAAAATGTAAATGTTGTTTCTGGTTCAGGACACTCTGGAAACATTATTCAACTCACTGGTTCTTCTGGATCAATAAAGGTTAAAAAGGTCTCATTTATGGAAACACTTTTTTATAAACTTTTCTTTCTGATGTTGGTATTTTAGTGTTTGTGTTTCCTGTTTAGTGTGAAGTGTCCTTTGTTAAATGTTATATACAGGAGATAAAGACCCCCGTGTCCAGACACAGGTTAAATACAGGAGACAGAGACCCCCGTGTCCAGACACAGGTTAAATACAGGAGATAGAGACCCTCGACACAGGTTAAATACAGGAGACAGAGACCCCCGTGTCCAAACACAGGTTAAATACAGGAGACAGAGACCCCCGTGTCCAAACACAGGTTAAATACAGGAGATAGAGACCCCCGTGTCCAGACACAGGTTATATACAGGCGATAGAGACCCCCGTGTCCAGACACAGGTTATATACAGGAGATAGAGACCCTCGTGTCCCAGACACAGGTTAAATACAGGAGACAGAGACCCCCGTGTCCAAACACAGGTTAAATACAGGAGATAGAGACCCTCGTGTCCAGACACAGGTTAAATACAGGAGACAGAGACCCCCGTGTCCAAACACAGGTTAAATACAGGAGACAGAGACCCCCGTGTCCAAACACAGGTTAAATACAGGAGATAGAGACCCTCGTGTCCAGACACAGGTTAAATACAGGAGATAAAGACCCCCGTGTCCAGACACAGGTTATATACAGGAGATAAAGACCCCCGTGTCCAGACACAGGTTAAATACAGGAGATAGAGACCCTCGTGTCCAGACACAGGTTAAATACAGGAGACAGAGACCCCCGTGTCCAAACACAGGTTAAATACAGGAGACAGAGACCCCCGTGTCCAAACACAGGTTAAATACAGGAGACAGAGACCCCCGTGTCCAAACACAGGTTAAATACAGGAGACAGAGACCCCCGTGTCCAGACACAGGTTATATACAGGCGATAGAGACCCCCGTGTCCAGACACAGGTTATATACAGGAGATAAAGACCCTCGTGTCCAGACACAGGTTAAATACAGGAGATAGAGACCCCCGTGTCCAGACACAGGTTAAATACAGGAGACAGAGACCCCCGTGTCCAGACACAGGTTAAATACAGGAGATAGAGACCCCCGTGTCCAGACACAGGTTATATACAGGAGATAGAGACCCTCGTGTCCAAACACAGGTTTGCTTCATATTCGCTCAAACATAAACGTTTCCTCTGCTGTGACCTGCTGCTCCTCCTTCACCTTCTCCTCTGACTACACCTCGGGGTTAAGTGTCTTGCCCAAGGGCCCAACAGCAGGTGATACTTTACCTTCAGGAGGAGGCGGAGCTGTGGGATCTCCTTCACCTTCTCCTCCGTCTCGTCGTTCTGATTCGTGAGTCGCACGAGTTCTTCAGCCATCACTGAACGACTGCGCTCCAGACCCGAAATCTCCATCTGCACCAAACACAACTTTAAGGACACAGGTACTTTAAGGACACAGGTACATTTAGGACACAGGTACTTTAAGGACACAGGTACATTTAGGACACAGTTACTTTAAGGACACAGGTACATTTAGGACACAGGTGCATTTAGGACACAGGTACTTTAAGGACACAGGTACATTTAGGACACAGGTACTTTAAGGACACAGGTACATTTAGGACGAGTTGAGACTTTGTGGATGAAGAAGGAACAGGACTGAGACTTTGGGATAAAACTAGAATCAATCTGTAATTATAGATTATGCAAATAATATGATTCAATAACTGCAGATAAACGTTTTGGACGAAACACTTTGTCCATTTATGTTCTAAACGTGTGGAGCTGTTCATGTACAGGTGTGAACGCCTGTGTTTGAGAAGAGCGCCCTCCACTGGACAAACAGGGAACTGAACAACAGTCTGAATAATCAGCATTAACTCTGTGAACGTTAGGGACTTTCTGTGTCGTTGACCCAAATGTAACTCACTGGTACAGTTCCTGCTGTACCTGTAGTCCTGCTGTACCTGCGGTCCTGCTGTACCTGTAGTCCTGCTGTACCTGTGGTCTTGCTGTCCTGCTGTACCTGTAGTCCTGCTGTACCTGTAGTCCTGCTGTACTTGTAGTCCTGCTGTACTTGTAGTCCTGCTGTACCTGTAGTCCTGCTGTCCTGCTGTACCTGTGATCCAGCTGTACCTGTGGTCCTGCTGTACCTGTGGTCTTGCTGTCCTGCTGTACCTGTGATCCAGCTGTACCTGTGGTCCTGCTGTACCTGTGGTCTTGCTGTCCTGCTGTACCTGTGATCCAGCTGTACCTGTGGTCCTGCTGTACCTGTGGTCTTGCTGTCCTGCTGTACCTGTGCTCCTGCTGTACCTGTAGCTGTGTGATCTCCCCGTCCCTGAGCTTCAGCTGTGACTGCAGGTTCTCGATGACACTGGAGCCTCCTGAGAGTCGAGCTGCTTCGTACAGATTAGAGCCGCTCAACGACAGCGACATGTTCCCCCCAGAGCCGTCCACACTCTCCTCCTGACGACATATACATATACAATACATAGAATAATAATAATAATAATAACAATAATAATAATGATACTGATAATAATAATAATGATAATAATAATAATAATAATGATAATAATGATAATAATAACAATAACAATAATAATAATACTGATACTAATAATGATAATAATAATAATAATAATGATAATAATGATAATAATAATAAAAATAATAATAGTTCATATTCAGACTCACTGGTGCCTCGTTATAACGTTTCACAGATGTTGTTGTGTTTTTTACAGTGTGTGTCTGCGGTGAGTATAATAAAGTATTGTTTGTTGGGGGTTGAATAATAAAATAAGGAAAAGGCCAAAAGAAAAGACTTTAATATGATACAGTTATTTTCTGGTGGATTTTTCTAAAAGGAAAATGTTTAGATTGAACCAAAACTGAGCCAAATATACATGTTGTTTTATATGTCTATGTCAGATTTATTAGTATAGAACATTTACAACCACACCCACTGAACAAAGTGCTTCACAGCCACAAAAGATTAAAGATAAAATAAAACAACAGTCAAATTCAGATGGTGTTAAAGCCCAAGGCGCTAATGTGTCTTTAGACTAGATTTAAAAACACTGCACTGGTCTGCTCTGGTCTGCTCTGGTCTGCTCTGGTCTGCTCTGGTCTGCTCTGGTCTGCTCTGGTCTGCTCTGGTCTGCTCTGGTCTGCTCTGGTCTGCTCTGGTCTGCTCTGGTCTGCTCTGTTCTGCTCTGTTCTAGTTCTGGTCTGCTTTGGTCTGCTATAGTCTGCTCTAGTTCTGGTCTGGTCTGGTCTGCTCTGTTCTAGTTCTGGTCTGCTCTGGTCTGCTCTGGTCTGCTCTGGTCTGCTCTGGTCTGCTCTGGTCTGCTCTGGTCTGCTCTGTTCTGCTCTGTTCTGCTCTGTTCTAGTTCTGGTCTGCTTTGGTCTGCTATAGTCTGCTCTAGTTCTGGTCTGGTCTGGTCTGCTCTGGTCTGCTCTGTTCTAGTTCTGGTCTGCTCTAGTTCTGGTCTGGTCTGGTCTGCTTTGGTCTAGTCTGCTTTGGTCTGGTCTGCTCTAGTCTGCTCTAGTTCGCTCTAGTTCACTCTAGTTCTGCTCTAGTTCGCTCTAGTTCTGCTCTAGTTCTGCTCTAGTTCTGCTCTGGTCTGCTCTGGTCTGCTCTGGTCTGCTCTGGTCTGCTCTGGTCTGCTCTGGTCTGCTCTGTTCTGCTCTGTTCTGCTCTGTTCTAGTTCTGGTCTGCTTTGGTCTGCTATAGTCTGCTCTAGTTCTGGTCTGGTCTGGTCTGCTCTGGTCTGCTCTGTTCTAGTTCTGGTCTGCTCTAGTTCTGGTCTGGTCTGGTCTGCTTTGGTCTAGTCTGCTTTGGTCTGGTCTGCTCTAGTCTGCTCTAGTTCGCTCTAGTTCGCTCTAGTTCACTCTAGTTCTGCTCTAGTTCGCTCTAGTTCTGCTCTAGTTCTGCTCTAGTTCTGCTCTGGTCTGCTCTGGTCTGCTCTGGTCTGCTCTGGTCTGCTCTGGTCTGCTCTGGTCTGCTCTGGTCTGCTCTGTTCTGCTCTGTTCTAGTTCTGGTCTGCTTTGGTCTGCTATAGTCTGCTCTAGTTCTGGTCTGGTCTGGTCTGCTCTGGTCTGCTCTGTTCTAGTTCTGGTCTGCTCTAGTTCTGGTCTGGTCTGGTCTGCTTTGGTCTAGTCTGCTTTGGTCTGGTCTGCTCTAGTCTGCTCTAGTTCGCTCTAGTTCACTCTAGTTCTGCTCTAGTTCGCTCTAGTTCTCTGCTCTAGTTCTGCTCTAGTTCTGCTCTAGTTCTGCTCTAGTTCTGCTCTAGTTCTGCTCTAGTTCTGCTCTGGTCTGCTCTGGTCTGCTCTGGTCTGCTCTGGTCTGCTCTGGTCTGCTCTGGTCTGCTCTGTTCTGCTCTGTTCTAGTTCTGGTCTGCTTTGGTCTGCTATAGTCTGCTCTAGTTCTGGCTGCTCTGGTCTGCTCTGGTCTGCTCTGTTCTAGTTCTGGTCTGGTCTGGTCTGCTTTGGTCTAGTCTGCTTTGGTCTGGTCTGCTCTAGTCTGCTCTAGTTCGCTCTAGTTCACTCTAGTTCTGCTCTAGTTCGCTCTAGTTCTGCTCTAGTTCTGCTCTAGTTCTGCTCTAGTTCTGCTCTAGTTCTGCTCTAGTTCTGCTCTAGTTCTGCTCTAGTTCTGCTCTGGTCTGCTCTGGTCTGCTCTGGTCTGCTCTGGTCTGCTCTGGTCTGCTCTGGTCTGCTCTAGTCCACTCTAGTTCTGCTCTAGTTCTGCTCTAGTTCTGCTCTAGTTCGCTCTAGTTCGCTCTAGTTCTGCTCTAGTTCTGCTCTAGTTCTGCTCTAGTTCTGCTCTAGTTCTGCTCTAGTTCTGCTCTGGTCTGCTCTGGTCTGCTCTGGTCTGCTCTGGTCTGCTCTGGTCTGCTCTGGTCTGCTCTGGTCTGCTCTAGTCTGCTCTAGTTCTGGTCTGCTCTGGTCTGCTCTGTTCTAGTTCTAGTCTGCTCTAGTCTGCTCTAGTCTGTTCTAGTCTGCTCTAGTCTGCTCTAGTCTGCTCTAGTCTGCTCTAGTCTGCTCTAGTCTGCTCTAGTCTGCTCTAGTCTGCTCTAGTCTGCTCTAGTCTGCTCTGGTCTGCTCTGGTTGTAGTTGAGAGGTTAGTAAAGTGTGGGGTTTCACAGTCTAAAAACTACTCTTTTCAGAATGTAATCCCGAGGTACATGAGGTTCCAGTGTAATCCATAAAAACCAGATGTTACCTGAGAGAGCAGCGTGGCGTGCAGGCCGGCGTGGTCCACCGCACTGATGGAGCTGGAGCGGGACAGGGAGGGGGTGGAGGAGGGCGGGGCCTGGAGCCGTTCCTGAGACACATTCATGAGTTCATAGTGACGTAGTGAAGGATTGTTAAAGAGCCCATATCACGGTGTTTGACTTTTCTCTGCTTTAAACATGATTCTGTTCAGATTATTCATTGATTCTGTCAATCTTCAGTAAGAGTAATCTTTAGTAATCTGTCTCCTTCCCCAGCGAGAGGCAGTGACGAAAACCACTCTGATGACGCATATGACGCGCATAAGCCCGTTTGCTTTGTATTTAAAATAATTTTTAAATACTTTTGTCCAAACAGGGTAAAAAATACACAATTAGTATGCAGTTTGTTGTCAAAAATAATAAAAATAAAAATAAATTAAAAGCCGGCGGGAGATGATTGACAGATCGAAACAGCGAATCAGAGCGCGCAGCTCCAGAGTCCAGCGTCTGTGGCTTGGTCCCGCTGACACCACATAGAGCTGCTGTTTTTATGCTTTTGTCAGTAGTAAGTAAGTAAGTAATGTTTATTTATATACCGCCTTTACCGGTTTACAATTGTTATTATTTTTGGGCACTTGTCTCTCACTCCACACAGAGATGGGAGCGGGGCCAGTACAGGAAGCGCATGCCAGACCTATTGTACATATTTTTAGTGGTAGGGGAAACCGGAGTGCCCGGAGGAAACCTACGCAGACACGGGGAGAACATGCAAACTCCACTCAGAAAGGCCCTGGTCCAACCGGGATTCGAACCCAGGACCTTCTTGATGAGAGGCAAGAGTGCTATCCACTCTGCCACCGTGTGGATAGCACCGTTGTCAGCACCTAAAAGTGTCAGGATCACGTCAACTTGAATGAAGTGTGTTATGGGAGTAAAAATGTGACGCACTATTTGGCCCAAAGAGGAAGAAAGCGGCTCGACTTCTTTCATCTGTTCATCTCATGGATCTATTATAAACCGGTTCATCTGCGACACTTCACTGAGACTGTTCCAGTCTGTTCCAGGACAACATAAGGTCCTCACAGACCTTTAAAGTCCTCAGACCTTTAAAGTCCTCACAGACCTTTAAAGTCTTCACAGACCTTTAAAGTCTTCACAGACCTTTAAAGTCTTCACAGACCTTTAAAGTCCTCACAGACCTTTAAAGTCTTCACAGACCTTTAAAGTCTTCACAGACCTTTAAAGTCCTCACAGACCTTTAAAGTCCTCACAGACCTTTAAAGTCTTCACAGACCTTTAAAGTCTTCACAGACCTTTAAAGTCTTCACAGACCTTTAAAGTCTTCACAGACCTTTAAAGTCTTCACAGACCTTTAAAGTCTTCACAGACCTTTAAAGTCTTCACAGACCTTTAAAGTCTTCACAGACCTTTAAAGTCTTCACAGACCTTTAAAGTCTTCACAGACCTTTAAAGTCTTCACAGACCTTTAAAGTCCTCACAGACCTTTAAAGTCTTCACAGACCTTTAAAGTCTTCACAGACCTTTAAAGTCTTCACAGACCTTTAAAGTCCTCACAGACCTTTAAAGTCCTCACAGACCTTTAAAGTCTTCACAGACCTTTAAAGTCCTCACAGACCTTTAAAGTCCTCACAGACCTTTAAAGTCTTCACAGACCTTTAAAGTCTTCACAGACCTTTAAAGTCCTCACAGACCTTTAAAGTCTTCACAGACCTTTAAAGTCTTCACAGACCTTTAAAGTCCTCACAGACCTTTAAAGTCTTCACAGACCTTTAAAGTCTTCACAGACCTTTAAAGTCCTCACAGACCTTTAAAGTCTTCACAGACCTTTAAAGTCCTCACAGACCTTTAAAGTCCTCACAGACCTTTAAAGTCTTCACAGACCTTTAAAGTCCTCACAGACCTTTAAAGTCCTCACAGACCTTTAAAGTCTTCACAGACCTTTAAAGTCCTCACAGACCTTTAAAGTCCTCACAGACCTTTAAAGTCTTCACAGACCTTTAAAGTCCTCACAGACCTTTAAAGTCTTCACAGACCTTTAAAGTCCTCACAGACCTTTAAAGTCCTCACAGACCTTTAAAGTCTTCACAGACCTTTAAAGTCCTCACAGACCTTTAAAGTCCTCACAGACCTTTAAAGTCCTCACAGACCTTTAAAGTCCTCACAGACCTTTTCCCGCAGCGACTCTTGGGCCAAATAACATTTCTTCTTCTCCTGCTCCACCTTCATTCTCTCCATCTCCAGCTGATTGGTCAACAGCAGCTTTGGGGAACAACACACCACTGTTTAGTAACTACTTTTAAACATGATTATTAACATGATTATTAACATGATTAACATTATTATTAACATTATTATTAACATTATTATTAACATTATTAACATTATTATTAACATTATTAACATTATTATTAACATTATTATTAACATTATTATCAACATTATTATTAACAACATTATTATTAACATTATTATTAACATGATTATTAACATGATTATTAACATGATTATTAACATTATTATTAACATTATTATTAACATGATTATTAACATGATTATTAACATGATTATTAACATGATTATTAACATGATTATTAACATTATTATTAACATTATTATTAACATTATTATTAACATGATTATTAACATGATTATTAACATTATTATTAACATTATTATTAACATTATTATTAACATTATTATTAACATTATTATTAACATTATTATCAACATTATTATTAACATTATTATTAACATTATTATTAACAATTGAACTGTGCTGCTTTCTGTCAGTTCAACATTTGCTTTGATGCTTTGGTTCTAACAGATTCTTTAAACTGACCACACACAACTTTACCTTTTCCTTCTTAGTCTCCTCTAAAATCCGACTGTGTTCTCCTCGAAGATTTTCCAGCTCCACCAGGTGCCTTAGATTGAAAACAAGACATACTTCTATAACATTATTCCTTAGCCACAGACAGCAGACTGTTTATTTCAGATATCAGTGTCATCCAGTGGACCCCCCATGGTGCTTCCCACACACTGCACAAACCATAAACTCTGTTCATCTGATGCAAATGATCCTGAATCTGAGAATGTGTCTGATCCTTATGTTTAAATGTTCTCATTATGAGACGACTCATGGTTTTATAATCGCAGCTGTGACCGTTCTTTTCTAGACTTTATTCAAAAAAACTACGAGCCAGCCAGGAGTCGAACCTAGAATCTTCTGATCCGTAGTCAGACGCGTTATCCATTGCGCCACTGGCCCTGTGAGAGGGAGGGGGTTCCCGCGCTGCTTTGTACCAGAGGCTGAGGCCGAGGCCCCTCCTGAGGCCCCTCCCCCACTCTCTGTGCGGCTCATTTAAAGGGCCAGCGCACTCACACTTCAATGGCAGAACAACCTTAACACTTTTAAATCAAATGTTTTATATGATGACGCCAAAAGAGATTTATACCTGCTGCCTTCATCCTCCAGCTTTTCCTTTTTGTTTTTCTCAGCCTCGAGCTGAGCCAGAACTCTGGCCTTTTCCTGACGAAGTAAAGAATTCTGCGACTCCAGAGAAACCATCTGAGACCTGATGTTCAGCAGCTCGTCTGAAGCAGAGCGCTCCTTTTCCACAGCAACAGCCAACTGTGCCTGAGCCTCCACTACAACACAGAGGTCAACTTTAGACTTTAGCTTTCACTGAATGACTTTATTATCCTCTTATTTAATTAGAACAGATCATATGTTCTGCTGAAGACCAAGAGATACTGAGAGGAAATAAAGGTTCAGGTGAAAATATCCTGAGGTTCTAAAAGGAATAACAAATGTCTGTTTTTAATGTCATGCTTCCTTTTCTAGCTTTGTTACATAACTCAAAATGAATTGTTAAATAATTGAGTCGAGTTAGAACCTGTCTGAGTGAACCGTGTCCCTCTCTTTTCACACTGAGGCCTGAGTGAAACCTGGGGCAGTTACCTAGTCGATCAGAGATGCTCTTCTCCAGTTTTTCCCATGATGCAGTTTGTCCCCCTAATGAGGCCTGAAGGTTTTCTATTTGACGCAGCAGAGGTCGAGTGGCAGAAGTCACACTCTGACTGAGTTCCTGGTTCCTTGACTCAGCCTCTTGGAGGCGCTGTAAAAAACCATTAGTCATATATTTTAAACATTCATTTAGTTCAATGTTCAAAGATACTTTTCTAAGTTATATACATGAACTAGTACATATCCACATATATGGTCCTTCACATGTATGTAGTCAAGTACTGTACAGGGCATTCACAAAGAATTCAGAGTTTTCTACAATAAATTATTTTCTACTCTTGTCAATCTACTCACATTTTTGTTGTAAGTTATATTAGTATTAATGAAACACAGACGTATCACAGAGTTACTGTCTAAACCAGGTTAGAACTGTCCATGTCACACTGAGACATCACTTTACTGAGGAGCAGGGGGTTCTAACGAGCAGTGGTCTCCAGCAATAACACAGAGACATTTGGGGAAAAGGGCCTGAGTCTGGGAGGGACAGGAGCAGACTCTAAAGGAACCATCAGGGCCTCCTCCAAAACTCAGGCAGGATACTTCTATTATGGCTTCATTCTTATTTTTTAATGTATATACAGTGGGGCAAAAAAGTATTTAGTCAGCGATTGTGCAGTTCTCCCACTTAAAATAATGACAGGTCTGTAATGTTCATCATAGGTTCACTTCAACTGTGAGAGACAGAATGAGAAAAAAAAATCCAGGAATTCACATTGTAGGATTTTTAAGAATTTATTTGTAAATGATGGTGGAAAATAAGTATTTGGTCAATAACAAATTAAACTCAATACTTTGTAATATAACCTTTGTTGGCAATAACAGGTCAAACGATTACTATAGGTCTTTACCAGGTTTGCACACACAGTAGCTGGTATTTTGGCCCATTCCTCCATGCAGATCTTCTCGAGAGCAGTGAACACGGACTTTCAACTCCCTCCACAGATGTTCAATGGGGTTGAGGTCTGGAGACTGGCGAGGCCACTCCAGGACTTTCAAATGCTTCTTACGGAGCCAAATACTTATTTTCCACCATCATTTACAAATAAATCCTACTATGTGAATTCCTGAATTTTTTTTTCACATTCTGTCTCTCACAGTTGAAGTGAACCTATGATGAAAACTACAGACCTGTCATTATTTTAAGTGGGAGAACTTGCACAATCGCTGACTAAATACTTTTTTGCCCCACTGTATATATTGGAGTATTGTGTGACAATGAACAAAAATTGATAAATGTTGTAAAAAGATTGCAACAATGAAAAGCATAGAAAAGGTGAAGGGGCTGAATACTTTCTGAATGCTCAAAGGAAACACAATGGTCCAAAGTGTTTTTCAGAGGTTTGAACATTACCTGCTGAAGTTCACTGATCTCTTCTCGTAAATAATCTTCCTTCCGAGCTTGCTGCTGCTCCGCCCTCTGTAAAGCTAACCTGAGATCTGCTACCTATAAACAAACAGAACACAGAGTTACAGTAACCTCTCTCTCAATATATATATATATATATTATATAAAGAGGATGTGGCAGTACCTGGTCGGCCAGCGCCTCCTGCTGGGCCCGGGCCTCCTCCTGGGCCTTTTCTAGACTCACACTCAGTTGTTCTTTGGCCCAAATCTCCCGACTCAGCGCCACTTCTTCAGCCTCACTTGCTCTGCTGGCGTTTGCCTTATGAAGCTCAGCCAGTTCCCTAAGAACACACGTGTTCAGCCCCTCCTCATGACAGCGTGGTGCAGAGAGGGGTACAGACAGAGGCAGTTGTACCTGTAAGAGTTGTCCAGAGCAGACTGTAGGCTTCGGCTGGTCTCCTGCAGCTCCTCAGAGTCCGCCTGCAGCTTACTCATCTCTCTCTCCTGCTTCTCGACCACTGCATTTAGCTTCTTGATGTTTTCCCGATGCTGTTTCTCCACCTCTTCTTTTCCATCCAGAACCTAAGCATCAACATGAGTTAATGCTGCTGCAGTGGGCTTTAAACCCATGATCTTTACAAAGTTCTTCAAACCAAACCTGCTGCAACAGTCCCAGCTCGTCCTCCAGCTCTTTCATCTTCTTCTCGTGTTTTAGGATCCGCGAGTCGCTCTCTTTTTCTTTAGCTCGTAGTTTTTTGATGATGTTACTGTGCTGTAGTTGTTGCTTGGATAGTTTTTCACCTGAGCAGCAGAAAAGGAATCAGATTTTATTTTCTTTATTTACAAAACTTCACAGTCATAAAAGTCATACACATCATATTTGAAAAGTTTGATTGTGTTTTGTGAAAGCTGCATTATCCCAAAAACAACAGATTATTCTAAAACAAATGGCTGCAGTATTGTTCTGACCTTCTTCCAACAGGCCTCGGATCTGCTCCTCCTTCTCCTTTATTATCTCCATCGTGTTCACAGAGTTCAGTCTTGTAGAGAGCTCCTCCCTCAGGCCCTTTATCTCCTGGAGGATTACAAATACATTCACAAACACGCATGAAGTTACCAGCAAAGTCCAATCCACTTTATTCAGAGATATTATGTGCTGCACAGAGATAAGTCACATTTACATATACAGGTTTGCAGCTTCATATGTTCCAAAATAATAATAATAAAATACATTGGAAAAGTAAAATAGTATGTACGCAGAAAGAACAATTAAAATGTAATATTAAAAACAATCAAATAACTTTTAAAAATTTAAAAATAAAAGAAAAGATTAAAAAAAAAATATTGCAGCGCACAGACAAGACAGTAGTGACACAAAATATACAATATTTTATACAAAGTGTCTGGAAATGCTTCAATATCAGTGTCTTTCAAAAGTATATGGAAAAGCGTAGAGAGCAGAGGAGGCTTGGACAGAGGAGGCTTGGACAGAGGAGGCTTGGACAGAGGAGGTTTGGACAGAGGAGGCTTGGACAGAGGAGGCTTGGACAGAGGAGGCTTGGACAGAGGAGGTTTGGACAGAGGAGGTTTGGACAGAGGAGGCTTGGACAGAGGAGGCTTGGACAGAGGAGGTTTGGACAGAGGAGGTTTGGACAGAGGAGGCTTGGACAGAGGAGGCTTGGACAGAGGAGGCTTGGACAGAGGAGGCTTGGACAGAGGAGGCTTGGACAGAGGAGGTTTGGACAGAGGAGGTTTGGACAGAGGAGGTTTGGACAGAGGAGGCTTGGACAGAGGAGGTTTGGACAGAGGAGGTTTGGACAGAGGAGGCTTGGACAGAGGAGGTTTGGACAGAGGAGGTTTGGACAGAGGAGGCTTGGACAGAGGAGGCTTGGACAGAGGAGGCTTGGACAGAGGAGGCTTGGACAGAGGAGGCTTGGACAGAGGAGGCTTGGACAGAGGAGGTTTGGACAGAGGAGGCTTGGACAGAGGAGGTTTGGACAGAGGAGGTTTGGACAGAGGAGGCTTGGACAGAGGAGGTTTGGACAGAGGAGGTTTGGACAGAGGAGGCTTGGACAGAGGAGGCTTGGACAGAGGAGGCTTGGACAGAGGAGGCTTGGACAGAGGAGGCTTGGACAGAGGAGGTTCGGACAGACCTTCTTGGCGATGTCTCTCTCTTTACAGGCCAGCTGGGCCTTTCTCTCTGTGTCTGCGATCCTCTGAGTGAACTCATCTTTCAGGGACTGGACTGTGGAGCTCTCTTCTTTAAGACCCAAGACCTCACTGTGAAAGAACCGTTACACTGTTTATTATTATAACACTGGGTAACAAAAAAATATTTTTTGAAAATAGTCCAGGGTTTTAAGCTGACTAATGTTGATGCTCTGAGTCCGAAAATGACCTTGGTTTTGCTCAATCAGGTCAGGACATTTTGCTACACAAATATTTTTTTATCGATTTTGCGTAAAAAAAACAAATTTCTGCAGATCATCAGCTGAGAAACCCCTGACCATTTTTTGGCTGTCAACTTGTGTTATTATTATAACACTGAGTCTGGAATCAGCTGAATATCATTTATTCAAAGTCACAAAAAGCAAAAACAGAAACTAGGAAAAAGACACACACACAGGGTCTACACACACACAGAGACACAGAGGCAGCACATCAGGTCCAACACTCACAAGACGGACTCACAACAACAGAACTAATATGTATCAAAATAAAACCAGATAAATGAACAGAAAGTGTGTGCACGTGTGTGTGTGTGCTTTTGTGAGTATGTGTGCGTGTGCATGCGCGTGTGCGTGTGTGTATGTGTATCAGTACTCACTCTTTGAGGTTGTCACACTCCTCTTCCAGTCGAGCCTTGTCCTTACTCACAGTCAGCAGCTGAGACTCCCTGGTCTCGAGGCGAGTGGTCAGCTCATGAACAACCTGCAGATAACAACACGTCACAGATGAACCTGGTTCCGTCGCTCTCAGAGACCGTTGGAAACACTTCCTCAAACACATCCATGTGTTTAACAAATGTCACGATCCTCAAACAGAATCATTTGTTTAACAAATGTCAAGGCTGCAGGGAGCGTTAGCTCGCTACAGTGGCACTATCAAAGCTTACCTTTTGGAGCTCCAGTATCTCAAAGGTAGATGCACTCTTCATCTCAACTGTGATTGGTCCAGAGGAGTCTTCTTCTGGTGTGTATAAATCCACTAGTGTTGAATTGGACTCGGACTCATGGACCAACAAATCTTCAAGTTGATCACTATTGACCGGAGTAGCACTGCGGCCACTTTCCTCCATCTCATCCACAGTCTGCTCCTTTAAAGTATTGCCAAAGTCCTCCTCTTCATCCTCATCCTCAGCTTTTCTCCCTTTGTCTTCCTCTTTCAGACTCTCTGATGCTTCCACAGCAGTTAACGGAGCAGCAGTGACAGATGCCAAAGTCCGACTGCCTGGAACGTCATCATCTGAGTTCACCTCGCTCACACTGCGGCTGTCCAGGGACTGCATACTGAAAGAGTCTATTCGCTCAAACGCATCTGAAGAGGAACCACAGCTTTCAGTTAGTTTGGTGTAGTCTTCTAAGCGTGAGAAATCTCCACATGTGGAGGCAGAGAGAAGCTGAAATGAACCTTGCATTAAGTGAAGTCCAGCCTTGCCATCTGCAGTTTCTTGTCTGGAGCTAGCCGAGCTCTCACTCAGAACACTCTCATGGTCCAGAACCTCAATGTCACTGGTCGTGGAAGTACCAGAAGAAAATGCACTGACTGGAGGAGAAGGAGTGTCGCTTTGACGGTCCTCTGGCTTTGTTTCCTTTTGGTCACTTTCCTTCGTAAGTGGGGATGGATCAGACGGAGCAGAGTCATTAGAATCAGAAGGAATCGTTGTCGGCTTGGGCGGCTCTTCTGCATTTTCTGTGTCCTCAGTTGGAGGTTCCTCTGACTTTGCAACCACTGAGAGGTCTATGTCCACTTCTATTTCACACGTTTTGGTCTCATCATTGTCTGAGTTCGAGGGTTCAAGAGCAGGGCATAAAGAAACTGGGGAGACAGGCTGAAGGAGGATAGTGTCCGGACAGTGGACTGGGGACGTAGGCTCGGCTGGGCGACTCTCGGGGACTTCAGAACTTTCAATATCATTTTCAGCTGGCATTTGAAGATTGACAGTATTTCCATCCTCTGAGTCCGTCTCGTCAGTCTCTTGTAGCCTCGTTTGTGACTTGGAAGGAGGAACAGACACTACGTGACTTTTGGTGACACTTGGGACATCTCCGGGTGGCAGAAAGGCACTGAAAAAGTTTTCTGATTCATCCACAACAGTCCTGGTGACTGGGGTAGTAATGGCCTCTGATGAAAGAGCAGGTGCAGAGGGCTGTTCCTCTGGAGGTGCTTCCCACTGGGTCAGTCCCCAACCTCCACTTAATGATAACTTCTCCGGCAGTGTAACATCTGACACACACAACAGTGATGATGAATAGTACACATACGATAGTATTTATTATAGGATATATTTCACATATACTACAGTACATACCATTATAGGGCATCACAGCTGAATCACCCCATTGCTCCTCTTCTTTTATGTCCAGAACACGGTCTATAGATTTCTGGGCCGTGGTTAAAGCCTGTTTAGCAAAAGTTGAAAGATGTGACGCGTTGAACCAACTCATTCTTGTTAAATCCTTGTTTTCTTGTCCGGGAGTGTTCAGAATCACACTGTGTTCCGAGGGTTCGTTTACACGTCACAAAACATATCTGCTGCTAAACTTCAGACTGTGGCATTACCAAAGATTATGGTCCACACTGTTGTTCCAGGAAATTACTGAGAGTCTCTAAAAGAAAGTCAAAAAGATAAACACAGCTCGACACGGATCTTTGCAGCGGCAGCTTGTTTACATCCGTGTTGGAAGAATCCAGAACATGTCCAAGTCTGACATCCTCCAAACTCAGAGAACTCAGGCCTTTCTATCTAACTATCTGACACTTCTGTCCTTGAAAGCAGCTGTGTTGTCTTTGCAGCGCATCCTGGTTTGTTTTGGTCGCTGTTTTAGCCCTGGCTAGCATTAGCTTTAGCCGGAAGAAGCCTACTTCCGGTACACGTAGCATAATCACGACGTCATTTTAGTCACATGACCCGCTGTCAGACTCTCTGAGTCCCTTCAGTCCTGATGAAATCGATAGAGGACAGTTCATAGTATTTTTATTGTAACTAATCCATAGACTGTATTTATTAAATCACACAAATAACATATATATGTTAATGGTATTTTAGTGTAAATGGAAAAAACTACAAATCCAATAAAACCGCTGTATCATGTCCATGCACACTGAATTCCCAAGCAAGATATGTGGATGGAGACTGTATTAATCTTAAATTAGAAAGTTGAAAGTACGGCGACAGTGACACTGTCAACAGATTTATCACAACAAAAGCCACATTCATGTTGCAGCCACTAGGTGGCGGTATTTGGTTATACTTGAGTTAACTTTTCTTGTACTTCTCTTTTTAGGAAGCTTTGTGTTGTCACTGACCTTGAGAATATTCTATATTACACTTCAGAGGCTAAGGTGCAAAAGATAAAATAAAGATAAGTAATCTTATTTATATATCACCTTTCACAGACCAGAGTCACAAAAAACGGTTTACAATTGTTATTTATTCATTTTTTTTTTTTTTTAAAGATAAAGATAAAGATAAAAGCCAAGTTAATAAAAGCTCCAGACCTGGAAATGAAGCAGCCACTGCTCCCAGCTCCTCACTGCAGGTGGAGCCAGCGTTTAAGGACTGTGAAAGAATGAGACCAAAAGGACACATTTCAGTGTGGCACAATGATAATCTACTGTGTTTTTCAGCAGAAAAGATAAAATATTACATTTTTAATACGCACAGTTCTTCCTGTCCCCAAGACCAGCCTGAATGTTTATTGATAATGCTTCAATCCTATTGACTGTCTGTGTTGCTGCCCTTCACTTTCACCTTTTGAATATCAGTAAGTACTGAATTCATTATTATTGAAGTCAGATTTAACATCATACTGTCCTTAAAGTCCCTCTGGACACAGTATTGTGTCTTTATATTGATCATGAAGGGAATGATGAAGGACCTTCATGATGTTATTGCTCTTTTTCTCTGAATGTTCACAACATCTTTGGTAAAAGACTTCTGTGTAAACTCGGCCAAGCTCAGATTCAAAGCCCAAATATCCGTCATTGCTGACATATTTGTATAGATTCTATAGAAATGCCATCTGTCATTCCTCTGCCTTCACCAAGCTGCTGTGATATCATTACCGAGCCTAAGGTCACCTTGGTCTGGGCGATCCATCACAGGGAGAACAATCAAACACCAGCCGTCAGTTAACCCTGCACTTCTAAGATTTATGTTTAGTCTACTTTACTTTGACACTAAACTTATACTGAGAATGTTTTTGTTTGATCAGACAGAACCAAAGAAACTCACTGACCACTGGAACCACCCAAAGGATTTGTTGATTTAAAATTGGGACGTGCAGCTGAAGGTTTCAGAACTCCTCTGAGCCTCAGTCCAAACAGCTGAACATCAGGAGATTGTTCTGTCAATGTGTGTGTTTTATGTTATGTGTGTATCTGTGTGTGCTACTGGCCCTCCCTACAGACCCCTGCAGACTCCTACAGACCCCTGCAGACCCGTGCAGACCCCTGCAGACCCCTGCAGACCCCTGCAGACCCCTGCAGACCCCTGCAGACCCCTACAGACCCCTGCAGACCCCTACAGACCCCTGCAGACCCGTGCAGACCCCTGCAGACCCCTGCAGACCCCTACAGACCCCTGCAGACCCCTGCAGACCCCTGCAGACCCGTGCAGACCCCTGCAGACCCCTGCAGACCCCTGCAGACCCCTGCAGACCCCTGCAGACCCCTACAGACCCCTACAGACCCCTGCAGACTCCTACAGACCCCTGCAGACCCCTGCAGACCCCTGCAGACCCCTGCAGACCCCTGCAGACCCCTGCAGACCCGTGCAGACCCCTGCAGACCCCTGCAGACCCCTACAGACCCCTGCAGACCCCTGCAGACCCCTACAGACCCCTGCAGACCCCTGCAGACTCCTACAGACCCCTGCAGACCCCTGCAGACCCCTACAGACCCCTGCAGACCCCTGCAGACCCCTGCAGACCCCTGCAGACTCCTACAGACCCCTGCAGACCCCTGCAGACTCCTACAGACCCCTGCAGACCCCTGCAGACCCCTACAGACCCCTGCAGACCCCTACAGACCCCTGCAGACCCCTACAGACCCCTGCAGACCCCTACAGACCCCTGCAGACCCCTGCAGACCCCTGCAGACCCCTGCAGACCCGTGCAGACCCCTGCAGACCCCTACAGACCCCTGCAGACCCGTGCAGACCCCTGCAGACCCCTGCAGACCCCTGCAGACCCCTGCAGACCCCTGCAGACCCCTGCAGACCCCTGCAGACCCCTGCAGACCCCTGCAGACCCCTGCAGACCCGTGCAGACCCCTGCAGACCCCTGCAGACCCCTGCAGACCCCTGCAGACCCCTACAGACCCCTGCAGACCCCTGCAGACCCTGCAGACCCCTGCAGACCCCTACAGACCCCTGCAGACCCGTGCAGACCCCTGCAGACCCCTGCAGACCCCTGCAGACCCCTGCAGACCCCTACAGACCCCTACAGACCCCTGCAGACCCCTGCAGACCCCTACAGACCCCTACAGACCCCTGCAGACCCCTGCAGACACATTCTCCTCCGGGAGACGAGACAATGAATGAATCTGAGTCTGAGCTACGAGACCAGAGATATTATTGTATGTTTGTAATTCATTGTTCTGACTTTAAAGGATTTAGGAAAGAACCGCCCTCTCCACTTTTTACACCAAACTGATTGGACGAGCATGTATCACCAGAATGATTGACAACTGGGAGGACCAATGGTATTAATGATCCACCCGGAAGTAGAAAATTCATGAGGAACAGCTTTAGCCCTTTAATGGTTTGGTTTGAGTCCATCTACTTTGAGTTTGGAATCTCACTTAGTTTTACTGTAGTCACATTTACCAAACAAATTCTCCATCATTTGGTAAATAGTCAGGGTCAGGGTTAATAATAATAATAATAATAATAATCATTTAAAGAAAAAAAATGGGCGCTATACACGCAATACACACATGTTGTTGGAGCACATCGGTGATATCTCTGGATCTGAGGACAACTAGTTGCCGAAAAGTAGAACACGGGCAACTGACTGAATCCGGAGATCGACTGTATATCTCCAGTTGTAAGAGCGCTCACATCGACCGATTTCAACTGATCATCTCCATCATCTCCTCTCTGTCGCCAAAAGCCGCCTTGAAACTAGTCGTCTCCAGTTACTCTGTCCACGTACACTGGGCTTAAAGGATTAACACCTCATACATTTGGTGAGGAGTCGTAGAATAATAACATGAAACCTCTGACTTCCTACTAACACTGGGGTCACTTTTCAGCCCCAGAGAAGGCCTTGTCCTCGGGTTTTAAGTCTGGTCTCTGGCCCGACGAGCTGGAGTCAAACAGAACAGCTTCAGAACCATCAGAGGCTTCACTTTTCAGGCTTGGTGAGGAGTCGTAGCATATTGACAAACTAATAATACTGGGGTCACTTTTCAGGCTTTCATAATCACTGCACAACCCCAGCCCTGTTTTGTTGGAGCATCTCACTTCCTTTGACTGTGGAGGACGTAAACTGCTGCTGATGTGGTCCTGATAATGTGTCAGAGCGTCCGTGCACAGCCGAACACGTTATGATTGATGACTCGCTCATCTGCACTGCTTTGATTAAGACTCCAATGATTTATGGCCACAGCTCACAATGTAATTAGACTCTGGGACATGCACAAAACGGTTTAGATGTGGATGATGCCAACAGATTTGTGGCACACTTGAGCTCATCTTCTTCTTATTGAATTATAGTCTGTGATTATTCAGAAAGTCATCCAGACCTGCCTGGTTCTGCACGGCCTCCTCCATCTTTATCATGGAATATTCTAATACATGTAGTACCCAGAGGGAGTGTAGAATATGGTTATTAACGTCCAATCTCATCAGATATCTTTGTGGGAGGAAGGTTTCAAACTCATGTTTATTAACCTGCACAGATTCATAGGTTCAGAACCATCAAGGCTTTACTCCTGGTTTCATTTCAAAACAGAGAAAACCTTCATTTAATTTAAGTTCAACATGAATCAAAGCTTCTGGAACATTTCTCTGTAGAATTACTAACGTGTGCCTGTTGTGGTAATTCTACTTAACGAAAAGAATTGTTTTCATTTTTATGGTCTTTGTGAAGTTAGCAATAAAATCTAATTCTGTTTCTGAGACCATTTTACAAGAAGCACAGGAGCTGTTATAATCATAGATCCATGGACCAACATATGTACAGACAGAACATACATGTACAGACAGAACATACATGTACAGACAGAACATACATGTACAGACAGAACATACATCTGTACAGACAGAACATACATATGTACAGACAGAACATACATGTACAGACAGAACATACATCTGTACAGACAGAACATATGTACAGACAGAACATACACATGTACAGACAGAACATACATGTACAGACAGAACATACATATGTACAGACAGAACATACATGTACAGACAGAACATACATCTGTACAGACAGAACATACATATGTACAGACAGAACATACATGTACAGACAGAACATACATATGTACAGACAGAACATACATGTACAGACAGAACATACATCTGTACAGACCGAACATACATATGTACAGACAGAACATACATGTACAGACAGAACATACAGCTGTACAGACAGAACATACATGTACAGACAGAACATACATGTACAGACAGAACATACATGTACAGACAGAACATACATCTGTACAGACAGAACATACATGTACAGACAGAACATACATGTACAGACAGAACATACATCTGTACAGACAGAACATATGTACAGACAGAACATACACATGTACAGACAGAACATACATGTACAGACAGAACATACATGTACAGACAGAACATATGTACAGACAGAACATACATGTACAGACAGAACATACATGTACAGACAGAACATACACATGTACAGACAGAACATATGTACAGACAGAACATACATGTACAGACAGAACATACATGTACAGACAGAACATACATCTGTACAGACAGAACATATGTACAGACAGAACATACATGTACAGACAGAACATACATGTACAGACAGAACACATGTACAGACAGAACATACATGTACAGACAGAACATACATGTACAGACAGAACATACAGACAGAACATACATGTACAGACAGAACATACAGACAGAACATACATATGTACAGACAGAACATACACATGTATAGACAGAACATACATATGTACAGACAGAACATACAGACAGAACATACACATGTACAGACAGAACATACAGACAGAACATACACATGTACAGACAGAACATACCGACAGAACATACATGTACAGACAGAACATACATGTACAGACAGAACACATGTACAGACAGAACATACATGTACAGACAGAACATACATGTACAGACAGAACATACAGACAGAACATACATGTACAGACAGAACATACAGACAGAACATACATATGTACAGACAGAACATACACATGTATAGACAGAACATACATATGTACAGACAGAACATACAGACAGAACATACACATGTACAGACAGAACATACAGACAGAACATACACATGTACAGACAGAACATACCGACAGAACATACATGTACAGACAGAACATACAGACAGAACATACAGACCGAACATACAGACAGAACATACATGTACAGACAGAACATACAGACCGAACATACAGACAGAACATACATGTACAGACAGAACATACAGACAGAACATACATGTACAGACAGAACATATGTACAGACAGAACATACATGTACAGACAGAACATACATGTACAGACAGAACATACAGACAGAACATACATATGTACAGACAGAACATACAGACAGAACATACACATGTACAGACAGAACATACATATGTACAGACAGAACATACAGACAGAACATACGTATGTACAGACAGAACATACAGACAGAACATACACATGTACAGACAGAACATACAGACAGAACATACACATGTACAGACAGAACATACAGAACATACAGACAGAACATACATATGTACAGACAGAACATACAGACAGAACATACACATGTACAGACAGAACATACAGACAGAACATACAGACAGAACATACACATGTACAGACAAAACATACAGACAGAACATACACATGTACAGACAGAACATATGTACAGACAGAACATACAGACAGAACATACGTATGTACAGACAGAACATACAGACAGAACATACACATGTACAGACAGAACATACAGACAGAACATACAGACAGAACATACACATGTACAGACAGAACATACAGACAGAACATACAGACAGAACATACATGTACAGACAGAACATACAGATTGTGTTTAAAAAGCATTTTAGCAGCTCCTGTTTCTCAAAGTGGTTATTTTTGACTCTTCTCACACTTTAACACTTTAACACTTTCTAAAAGCAGACGTTGTTGGTGCAGAGCATCCAGGATGTGGAGCAGGTTTCTCTCCTGCAGCAGCTGCAGAGGAACAGATTCATAATAAAATAGAAAATGAGATTATTCTGAGTCGTTAAGTTTATGGCTCTCAGGAGAACTACGTCATTGTTCCGGCAGTGGTCTTTAGAGTGGGCATAAAGATCCAACTGTTGGAAAGAAGGTTCTCAAAGCATCATGGTCTGGGGTCTGCAGGGTCTGGGGTCTGCAGGGTCCGGGGTCTGCAGGGTCCAGAGACTACAAGGTCCAGAGACTACAGGGTCCAGAGACTACAGGGTCCAGAGACTACAGGGTCCAGAGACTACAGGGTCCAGAGACTACAGAGTCCAGAGACTACAAGGTCCAGAGACTACAGGGTCCAGAGACTACAGGGTCCAGAGACTACAGGGTCCAGAGACTGCAGGGTCCAGAGACTGCAGGGTCCAGAGACTGCAGGGTCCAGAGACTACAGGGTCCAGAGGTCCAGATTTTTACCCTTTATGTATCTTTTTTATGTTTTTATGAACTTTTTGGTTCTCTCCTATGAGTGCGACTTGTGAACGAAGCAGATCTTTGAGGAAAACAAACCAAGCGTCTCCTGAGACCATGTGCCGCGGCTCAGAGACGGACTTTAGCTTTTATCTGCTGTTTGGTGATAAAAAACAGTGGTGAGTAAAAACAGTGTGTGGTCGTTCTGCTCTTAAAGGAAAGCACCGTGAGAATTGTCTTTGTCAGGTTTAAATATCTGCTGCTGATGGTGATCAATGACCTCCATCACCTCGTCACACCCCCCTTCTTAATGACCTCAGCCGCCAATCCACCCCCACTAACACTCATCTGCAAATGACACAAACAAGAGGAAAAACGTGACAGTTCCAACATATCGCAGAGACAACAAGAAGAGAAAGGACAAAAAGAAGCCGTGGTGTGATATTCATGGTGCAATAATACCCAGAGAGAGACGGGCCTTTTATGAAATATGTTTGCCCTTAAGCTACTGTTGGACATCCCCACATACACTGGATCTATATATCTCTGTATATCTGTCCCCTGGTGATGCTAACTGTGAAAAATTATGCTGCATAGATAGTAATAAAATGACTGTAAAATGTATGGAAGAAAAACGTTGTTCATTGTGGCTTTGAGGATTTCATAAAGCCTTAAATGAGCAAAAACAAATCTCTCCAGAGAATCCATAAAAACATAAAGCTTAGAAGAGGAGGCTGTGTCTGGAGGGTCTCAGGTGGGTCAGAGTCAGGGCTTTATTATCCTCAGCATCCTGGAGGCGACAGGCCCAGAGCGACCCGGAGGACCCGGAGGACCCGGAGGAAGTGAGGTCATTTCACCTGCATTAGTCACAATGGTTTTAGAACAATTCCCATTAAATCATTAAAGGTAAATTAGAGGACGTTTTACTTCCACGTGGATCAACACTATTGGTCCTCCTTTTTATTTCTCTTTCTTTTTCTTTTATATAAATGTATTTTGTGTTAAGTGATATATTCTGTCTCTTGGGGACATTGTGGGAGGGACTGGGGGTAAAATGTGGTCTTAAAATGCCATAAAAATATAATAATACAAAAATACTATTGGTCCTCCTAACTGTCAATCATTCTGGTGATACGTGCTTGTCCAATAAGATCAGAGGATTTGGTTCAAAAGGTGGAGTGTGTGGAGTTTGCATGTTCTCCCCGTGTCTGTGTAGGTTTCCTCCAGGTGCTCCGGTTTCCCCTACCACTAAACCAATAGGTAAGGGTTAATGTGTGTGTGTGTGTGTGTGTGTGTGTGTGTGTGTGTGTGTGTGTGTGTGTGTGTGTGTGTGTGTGTGTGTGTGTGTGTGTGTGTGTGTGTGTGTGTGAGTGTGTGTGCGTGTGTGTGTGTACTTATCTACAATCATGTTTATTTACAGCTCGTGCTGATCATGAATCCAAATAAACAAATGAATACAACAATAAAATGTATGAATGATGCAGAACATTAAACTTAACGGTACATAATGAATCGTTAATCCACCGCCGCAGCCTCAGCCGTGAATGTAAAGTGGTTTAAGCGTCTGTCAGTGATGTCACACTCTCTGAGGTGTTTCACACGAGCTGCAGATCTCACACTGACTCCTCTGCTCCTTTCACGGTGTTGTTCTGGAGCTGCCAACGGACCGTTCCTTCATGTTCTCATTCAATTACAGATCTGTGTAATTACACTTGTGGACAAAGTGTAAAAGTGTGTGTGTCCGTGACGTATTGTGTAACCTCCTGGTCGTACATCAGTCTGATGGAATGGCGTTGGCCGCATTACTGCGCTCACCATCGGAGGTCTGCCAAGTCTGACATTAGCCTTATTTATTGTGCTGTGATGAATTGGTAAGTGTGTGTTTCTGTCTCTGCCTGCGGCGCTTGGAGGGAATCTGTTGCTGCTCATTTCCATAAACAAGTGTGTTTCGCTTGTGCCCTTGAGATGACACTGTCCCATTATAATAAAGGACAGTAACAGATGCACCGTCCCGGGGAGTCTGTGACAGCCGCGCTCTCGGAGGTCAGAGCAACACAACACAACACATATCTACACAAAGAGGAATAGGTCCTAATCCTTTATCTTTGCAGAGTTTAGTGAAACAGGTGATTATTAATGACACACATTCACAGAGAGTAAAGTCTTTGTCTGATCATGTCCTTCACATTGAAATGACACAGACAAACATGACGAAGGATCATCCAAACCGTGTCGTCTTCATCCAGGACTTATCGAAGCAGAGCCGTGTTTCTGTTGTAAATGAGAAGTGGCGTGCGCTGTGGCTCTCGGCGGGGCGTGTGTGCCGCGGCTGTTTGCCTGTTGATATCTGAGTGAGACATCTCCATCTGAGCCGCCCCCCACCGCTTCATCTCCCTTCACCTGTCAGAGCCCCCGCCCGCACAAGGACGCTCCAGAAGGGACAGACTGGAATCATGTTTGCCAAAGCACCGGACGTGTAATAATAATAATAATGTTGAGATTCAGCATCACCAAAGCTCTGCAGTCTTTCCACAAAACCTGATGATAAAAACACAGACATTTATCTAAAGGTTGGATCAGGTTTTGTGTTCACTGTATCTAAAGGTGCATGAGGAAATCAAACCCCCACCTGCAGGAGGCCCAGAGAGGGGCTGGTGCTGTGAGGCCTGAGGAGACAGACAGGAGCCCGTGGGGAGTAGCTTCAGTTTCTTGATATTTGGATTGAACCAGAACAGATTATTTTACTATCACATTCTTCATGGACCAGAGTTTACACATGGTAAGACCAGAGTTTACACATGGTGGGACCAGGATAGTTTTGGATGAAGGAGAGCGTGCACTCGCAGAGCAAGTACTGTGTATGGAACGTTTATACCCGGACTCTCTGATTATTATCCTGGGGGATTTTAATAAGGGAAACTTGAGCCAGGAATTACCCAAATACAGACAGTTTATCAAATGCCCGACCAGAGAGGAGAACACTCTGGATCACTGCTACACCACCGTGCGCGGAGCTTTTCGCGCTGTTCCCAAGCCAGCCCTCGGCTTCTCAGATCACTCCATGATACATCTGGTTCCTGCTTACAGACAGAGACTAAAGCTCTCGAAACCTGCAGTGAGGAGCTCCAAAGTGTGGTCTGATGAAGCTGTGGAAGAGCTGCATGCATGGAATCTACAGACTGGGACCTTTTCAGAGCTGCCACAGATAGTTTGGATGAATACACGGACACTGTGACGTCATACATCCACTTCTGTGAGGATAGCATCATTCCAACAAGGACCAGGGTCATCTATAACAACGACAAACCCTGGTTCACTGCTAAACTCCGGCAGCTCAGGAAAGGAGTCTGCTTTCAGGGAGGGGGACCGCAGAGGCTACAAAGCAGCTAAATATCAGTTCAGGAAAGAACTGAAAGCAGCCAAGTCCCGGCACAGAGAACGACTACAGGAGCAGTTTGGTAACAACAATACTGCTTCTGTCTGGAGGGGCCTACGGGAGATCACCAACTACAAACCCAAAGCCCCCCCCCTGTGCTGACGACCACAAGCTAGCTGACGAACTGAACTTATTTTTCAGTCGCTTTGATGCTGCCCCTGACACCTCCCCCACCCCCCACTACTCTAACGACCCACCCATCAGCCCTGCCCCCAGCCTAACAATAGCCGCTAAAGAGATTAAACAACTCTTCTTGAGGCTGCACCCCCGCAAAGCTCCTGGCCCGGACCACGTGTCTCCGGCCACTCTGAGACACTGCCCCAGTGAGCTTACTCCTGTGTTCACGGACATTTTCTGACCTCTCTGCAGTCCTGCCATGTCCTGCTTCAAATCCTCCATCATTGTCCCCGTCCCGAAGAAGCCCAGGATCACAGGACTCAATGACTACAGACCTGTAGCACTTACGTCTGTCGTCATGAAGTCATTTGAACGCCTGGTTCTCTCCCATCTCAAGTCCCTCACCTCCCCCCTCCTGGACCCCCTGCAGTTCGCCTACAGAGCCAACAGATCTGTAGACGACGCCATTAACCTGGCCCTCCACCACATCCTACAGCACCTGGACTCCCCGGGGACCTACGCCAGGGTCCTGTTCGTGGACTTCAGCTCTGCCTTCAACACAATCCTGCCATCCCTGCTCCAGGACAAGCTCTCCCAGCTCAACGTGCCCGATTCCACCTGCAGGTGGATCACTGACTTCCTGACGGACAGGAAGCAGCGAGTGCGTCTGGGGAAGAATGTCTCGGACTCTCGGATTATAAATACAGGAGCCCCACAGGGCTGTGTTCTTTCTCCCCTGCTCTTCTCCCTGTACACCAACCACTGCACCTCCTCCCACCGCACCTCCTCCCACCTCCTCCCACTGCACCTCCAACCACTGCACCTCCAGCCACGACTCCGTGAAGCTGATCAAGTTCGCGGAAGACACCACCCTCATTGGACTCATCTCCAACAACGATGAGTCCGCCTACAGGAGGGAGGTGGACCGGCTGGTGTCCTGGTGTCTCCTACAGGAGGGAGGTGGACCGGCTGGTGTCCTGGTGTCTCCTACAGGAGGGAGGAGGACCGGCTGGTGTCCTGGTGTCTCCTACAGGAGGGAGGTGGACCGGCTGGTGTCCTGGTGTCTCCTACAGGAGGGAGGTGGACCGGCTGGTGTCCTGGTGTCTCCTACAGGAGGGAGGTGGACCGGCTGGTGTCCTGGTGTCTCCTACAGGAGGGAGGTGGACCGGCTGGTGTCCTGGTGTCTCCTACAGGAGGGAGGTGGACCGGCTGGTGTCCTGGTGTCTCCTACAGGAGGGAGGAGGACCGGCTGGTGTCCTGGTGTCTCCTACAGGAGGGAGGTGGACCGGCTGGTGTCCTGGTGTCTCCTACAGGAGGGAGGAGGACCGGCTGGTGTCCTGGTGGTCTCCTACAGGAGGGAGGAGGACCGGCTGGTGTCCTGGTGTCTCCTACAGGAGGGAGGAGGACCGGCTGGTGTCCTGGTGTCTCCTACAGGAGGGAGGTGGACCGGCTGGTGTCCTGGTGTCTCCTACAGGAGGGAGGAGGACCGGCTGGTGTCCTGGTGTCTCCTACAGGAGGGAGGAGGACCGGCTGGTGTCCTGGTGTCTCCTACAGGAGGGAGGTGGACCGGCTGGTGTCCTGGTGTCTCCTACAGGAGGGAGGTGGACCGGCTGGTGTCCTGGTGTCTCCTACAGGAGGGAGGTGGACCGGCTGGTGTCCTGGTGTCTCCTACAGGAGGGAGGTGGACGGCTGGTGTCCTGGTGTCTCCTACAGGAGGGAGGTGTACCGGCTGGTGTCCTGGTGTCTCCTACAGGAGGGAGGTGGACCGGCTGGTGTCCTGGTGTCTCCTACAGGAGGGAGGTGGACCGGCTGGTGTCCTGGTGTCTCCTACAGGAGGGAGGTGGACCGGCTGGTGTCCTGGTGTCTCCTACAGGAGGGAGGTGGACCGGCTGGTGTCCTGGTGTCTCCTACAGGAGGGAGGTGGACCGGCTGGTGTCCTGGTGCAGTGGTAACAACCTGGAGCTGAACGCCCAGAAGACAGTGGAGATGATTTTGGACTTCAGGAAGAGCACTGTCCCCCCGCCCCCACCCTCCGTGATGGACTCCCCCATCACCTCTGTGGAGTCCTTCCGTTTCCTGGGCACCACCATCACCCAGGACCTCAAGTGGGAGCCGACCATCAGCTCCCTCATCAAGAAGGCCCAGCAGAGGATGTACTTCCTGCGGCAGCTCAGGAAAGCCAAGCTGCAGTTCTACACGGCCATCATCGAGTCCATCCTCACCTCCTCCATCACCTCCTCCTTCACCTCCTCCATCACCTCCTCATCACCTCCTCCATCACCTCCTCACCTCCTCCATCACCTCCTCACCTCCTCCATCACCTCCTCACCTCCTCCATCACCTCCTCACCTCCTCCATCACCTCCTCCATCACCTCCTCCATCACCTCCTCCACCACCTCTTCATCACCTCCTCCATCACCTCCTCCATCACCTCCTCACCTCCTCCATCACCTTCTCCATCACCTCCTCCATCACCGCCCCCATCACCTCCTCCATCACCTCCTCCATCACCTCCTCCATCACCTCCTCCACCACCTCCTCCATCACCTCCTCCATCACCTCCTCATCACCTCCTCCATCACCTCCTCCATCACCTCCTCCACCACCTCCTCCATCACCTCCTCCATCACCTCATCATCACCTCCTCCATCACCTCCTCCATCACCTCCTCCACCACCTCCTCCATCACCTCCTCCATCACCTGCTCCATCACCTCCTCCATCACCTCCTCCATCACCTCCTCATCACCTCCTCCATCACCTCCTCCACCACCTCCTCCATCACCTCCTCATCACCTCCTCCATCACCTCCTCCACCACCTCCTCCATCACCTCCTCCATCACCTCCTCCATCACCTCCTCCATCACCTCCTCCACCACCTCCTCCATCACCTCCTCCATCACCTCCTCCATTACCTCCTCCATCACCTTCTCCATCACCTCCTCCATCACCGCCCCCATCACCTCCTCCATCACCTCCTCCATCACCTTCTCCATCACCTCCTCCACCACCTCCTCCATCACCTCCTCCATCACCTCCTCCATTACCTCCTCCATCACCTTCTCCATCACCTCCTCCATCACCTTCTCCATCACCTCCTCCATCACCTCCTCCATCACCGCCCCCATCACCTCCTCCATCACCTCCTCCATCATCTCCTCCATCACCTCCTGCATCACCTCCTCCATCACCTCCTCCATCACCTCCTCCATCACCGCCCCCATCACCTCCTCCATCACCTCCTCCATCACCTCCTCCATCACCTCCTCCATCACCTCCTCCATCACCTCCTCATCACCTCCTCCATCACCTCCTCCATCCCCTCCTCCATCACCTCCTCCATCACCTCCTCATCACCTCCTCCATCACCTCCTCCATCACCTCCTCCGTCACCGTGTGGTTCGCTGGAGCCACAGTCAGGGACAAACAGAGACTACAGTGCATTGTGCGCTCTGCAGAGGAAGTGATCGGCCGCAGCCTTCCATCGCTGCAGGACCTGTACGTCGCCCGAGCTCGAGGCCGGGCTGGTCGTATCACAGCCGACCCCTCTCACCTGCACATGGACTATTCCAACCACTCCCCTCTCACCTGCACATGGACTATTCCAACCACTCCCCTCTCACCTGCACATGGACTATTCCAACCACTCCCCTCAGGCAGGAGGCTGCGGTCCATCAGGACTAGAACCTCCCGCCACAAGAACAGTTTCTTCCCCTCTGCTGTTGGACTCTTGAACACTTCTTAACCTGTCCCCCCGCCCTTTATAAAGTCACTTTACTTCACTGTACTGCTGTGCACTTCACTGTACTGCTGTCACCTTACATTGTGTGCACCATGTGCACTTGTATATTGTAAATAGTAACTGTAACTCTATTTTAAATTTAAATGTATTCCTTAGAAGTGTTTTTTATTCTTTATTTTTATTATCTCTTTCTGACTGTTGCACTGAGCCAAAGCAATTTCCTAGTCTGTGACTTCTGTTACTTACGTGGCAATAAAAATGATTCTGATTCTTATTATATTTGATTCCTTAAACATAAGCATTTTTGTGCTTATTGTCACATACATTGTCAGCAGTGATGGCCCCTTTAAAGCCAGGGTGCGTTTATGTCCATCGGGAGAAAGGGAAATCCAATAGAGCGGGGCCTGAGGTCGGCGTGTGGGTTTATGGCCTGTTAATGTGTGTGTTCGCACAAACTTTGTAATTGAGGTCATAAAACGTGCTGATCTTTCCACAGCAGGATCCTCAGGCCACGGCAGCTGCAGTCCCCGACAATGGTATAGAAACACATTTAACACAACAGGACATATTGGTAATAAGTAAATTAGCTTTTTATTAAAATATGTTCTCATGCACTGGATAAAATGTCTGGAAAAAAATTAGAAAAATAGTATAAAAATAATAAAACTACTGTTTATAATAATAAAAATGATCTTCCATCAGGACAGAAAATATGACTTTAGATTACTGAACATGATTAAATAAAACGACTTGATTCTAGTTTAAAAACATACATTTAAAGAATTATTTACTTATTTCTTAAACACTTTTGAAAGATGTTTACTTAAAACACAGCATCACAAACTTATTTTATCTACAGAAGAAAAGTCATGAAATAAGAAAAAATACTTAAAACATGCTTCAAACCTCACTGCTCAGACTGTTTTCTCATGAGACTAACGAGACACATGAGACTAATGAGACACATGAGACTGAGACACATGAGACACATGAGACACATGAGACTGAGACACATGAGACTAATGAGACTAATGAGGCACATGAGACTGAGACACATGAGACACATGAGACACATGAGACTGAGACACATGAAACTAACGAGACACATGAGACTAACGAGACACATGAGACTAACGAGACACATGAGACTAATGAGACACATGAGACTAACGAGACACATGAGACTAATGAGACACATGAGACTAATGAGACACATGAGACTAAGTCACATGAGACTAATGAGACACATGAGACTAACGAGACACATGAGACTAATGAGACACATGAGACTAATGAGACACATGAGACTAATGAGACACATGAGACTAATGAGACACATGAGACTAATGAGACACATGAGACTAACGAGACACATGAGACTAACGAGACACATGAGACTAACGAGACACATGAGACTAACGAGACACATGAGACTAACGAGACACATGAGACTAACGAGACACATGAGACTAATGAGACACATGAGACTAATGAGACACATGAGACTAATGAGACACATGAGACTAATGAGACACATGAGACTAACGAGACACATGAGACTAACGAGACACATGAGACTAACGAGACACATGAGACTAATGAGACACATGAGACTAATGAGACACATGAGACTAACGAGACACATGAGACTAATGAGACTAACGAGACACATGAGACTAATGAGACTAATGAGACTAAGGAGACTAACGAGACACATGAGACTAATGAGACACATGAGACTAACGAGGGGCGGAGAATCAACCCATCATGAACCCAAAGGGGAGTGTTAAAACAGTAAATAAACCCAAACCATGACAGTAATTACCTCAGATTCAGGCTCAGCTTCAGCGTCTCGTTCTGTTCAGGAGAAAAGAATATTTGGATGATCAATGTGGTGAACTGACGGTGACCCTGCAGTGACATCACCACTCAAAGACCATAACGACCCATAACAGTCAGACCTTAACGAGCCATAACAGTCCGAGCCCTGGGTCCATGCTTCAGTCTGGATCACAGCAGCACGAGATCAGCCGCAGTGATTATTCTAGAATAGATCAGAGTTAAATCTCTGACTGAACAAACGGGGCATTTGTTTATATTCAAAGTGCAGATTTAAAGGGCCAGTGGTGAGTTTAGGCCAGAGCCAGTCCCCGGAGACGCTGAGCCTGCAGGAGACGCAGCAGGAGACGCTGCAGGAGACGCTGCAGGAGACGCTGCAGGAGACGCAGCAGGAGACGCAGCAGGAGACGCAGGAGAAGACGCTGCAGGAGACGCAGCAGGAGACGCAGCAGGAGACGCAGCAGGAGACGCAGCAGGAGACGCAGCAGGAGACGCTGCAGGAGACGCTGCAGGAGACGCAGCAGGAGACGCAGCAGGAGACGCAGGAGAAGACGCTGCAGGAGACGCAGCAGGAGACGCAGCAGGAGACGCAGCAGGAGAGGTTTTTGACACGGTGAAGATGTGAAGGCAATAAGACGGAGCTGCAGCGGAGACAAAGGTAACGATGGATGAATCTGCCCTTTGACCTCTGCTCCGTCGACAGCAGAGATTATTGGAGTCAGAGGTTTGATGGAAGCTTCTAGAAGACTGTTCTCTGTGCTCTGCTCTCACAAACAGCGAGGGTTTGGAAAGACATCAAACACAGAATTAAGGACAATTATCAAACCCTCTAAAGTGAAAAGAGACAGAGGTTTATGTTTCAACTTAAATGTACCCAGATACTGCACATTATGACTTCATGGCATTCGCAATGAAAAAACTATATTTTTTTACTGATAGACACAGGTCTCTATGACACACAAACAGAAGTCCCACTGAACCAGACTCAAGGCTCGGGAAATAGTAAAAGTGTAAATCTTTGTGTGGCAGGAGTTTGAATAATCTTGACGTCCTGCTTCACACAATCTGTCATTTTAAACAGATCCACATTTTGTAAACTTCAGTTAACCGTGGCGCCCGGAGGGTTCATGATGGATCCAAAAAGCAGGGATGCCTTTATTAATGTTGTTTATTTATTTATTTGATAGGGACAATGCACATGAATGAACATCAGTATAATATGCTGGATTATAGCCACCAAGCCAGTTTTCATCCATAATCCCAGGCAGGAAAATACAGAAGAATTTGGCTTTCATGTTTTCAGGAACAGTCTGAACAGAAAGAGTCCGATCACGACTTTAGGAAACGTTCTGCATACTCGTTATGAAGTGTTCACACCAATACATACAGAAATACACAGCTTTGTCCTTAAAAGATGATCTAAAGATTGGAATAATAATAAAAAATGCATCTCTACAATCAAACTTTAACAGAGCCAGAAACTAATGACAAGAATTGAATTGGAAGAGTTTGAATTGTAGTTTCAGAGTTACATACCATGGTACTCTTTTCATTGTGCACTGAACTCATGTCAGACATCCACAGAATACTGCTCATGCATGATACACAGGTACATACAGACACACAGGTACATACAGACACACAGGTACATACAGACACACAGGTACATACAGACACACAGGTACATACAGACACAGGTACATACAGACACACAGGTACATACAGACACAGGTACATACAGACACACAGGTACATACAGACACACAGGTACATACAGACACAGGTACATACAGACACACAGGTACATACAGACACACAGGTACATACAGACACAGGTACATACAGACACACAGGTACATACAGACACAGGTACATACAGACACACAGGTACATACAGACACACAGGTACATACAGACACACAGGTACATACAGACACAGGTACATACAGACACACAGGTACATACAGACACACAGGTACATACAGACACAGGTACATACAGACACACAGGTACATACAGACACAGGTACATACAGAGACACAGGTACATACAGACACACAGAGACACAGGTACATACAGACACACAGGTACATACAGACACACAGAGACACAGGTACATACAGACACACAGGTACATACAGACACACAGAGACACAGGTACATACAGACACACAGAGACACAGGTACATACAGACACACAGAGACACAGGTACATACAGACACACAGAGACACAGGTACATACAGACACACAGGTACATACAGACACACAGAGACACAGGTACATACAGACACACAGGTACATACAGACACACAGAGACACACGTACATACAGACACACAGGTACATACAGAGACACAGGTACATACAGACACACAGGTACATACAGACACACAGAGACACAGGTACATACAGACACACAGAGACACAGGTACATACAGACACACAGGTACATACAGACACACAGAGACACAGGTACATACAGACACACAGAGACACACGTACATACAGACACACAGAGACACACGTACATACAGACACACAGGTACATACAGAGACACAGGTACATACAGACACACGTACATACAGACACACAGAGACACAGGTACATACAGACACACAGGTACATAGAGACACAGGTACATACAGACACACAGGTACATACAGACACACAGAGACACAGGTACATACAGACACACAGGTACATACAGAGACATACAGAGACACAGGTACATACAGACACACAGAGACACAGGTACATACAGACACACAGAGACACAGGTACATACAGACACACAGGTACATACAGAGACATACAGAGACACAGGTACATACAGACACACAGGTACATACAGACACATACAGACACACAGACACACAGGTACATACAGAGACATACAGAGACACAGGTACATACAGACACACAGAGACACAGGTACATACAGACACACAGGTACATACAGACACACAGACACACAGGTACATACAGACACACGTACATACAGACACACAGAGACACAGGTACATACAGACACACAGGTACATAGAGACACAGGTACATACAGACACACAGGTACATAGAGACACAGGTACATACAGACACACAGGTACATACAGACACACAGACACGCAGGTACATACAGACACACAGAGACACAGGTACATACAGACACGCAGGTACATACAGACACACAGAGACACAGGTACATATAGACACAGAGACACAGGTACATACAGACACACAGGTACATATAGACACAGAGACACAGGTACATACAGACACACAGAGACACAGGTACATACAGACACGCAGGTACATACAGACACACAGAGACACAGGTACATACAGACACACAGGTACATATAGACACAGAGACACAGGTACATACAGACACACAGGTACATAAAGAGACACAGGTACATACAGACACACAGAGACACAGGTACATACAGACACACAGGTACATGCAGACACACAGGTACATACAGACACACAGGTACATACAGACACACGTACATACAGACACACAGACACACAGGTACATACAGACACACAGGTACATACAGACACAGGTACATACAGACACACAGAGACACAGGTACATATAGACACAGAGACACAGGTACATACAGACACACAGAGACACAGGTACATACAGACACACAGGTACATACAGACACACAGAGACACAGGTACATACAGACACACAGACACACAGGTACATACAGACACACAGACACACAGGTACATACAGACACACAGGTACATACAGACACAGGTACATACAGACACACAGGTACATGCAGACACACAGGTACATACAGACACACAGACACACAGGTACATACAGACACAGGTACATACAGACACACAGGTACATGCAGACACACAGGTACATACAGACACAGGTACATACAGACACACAGGTACATACAGACACACAGGTACATACAGACACACAGGTACATGCAGACACACAGGTACATACAGACACACAGAGACACAGGTACATATAGACAGAGACACAGGTACATACACACAAAGACACAGGTACATACAGACTCACAGGTACAGACAGAGACACAGGTGAAACACATCAGGGCGGGGCAGACCATCAAGACAGGGAGAAACAGAACAGGAAGTACAACTAAAACCAAAACACAAAGAAATGATGTCAAAATAAAACCAAAGTACACAACAACTGACAGACAGACAGACAGACAGACAGACAGACAGATGTGTGAACCCCACTCCATGTCTCCCCCAGAGGCACAGACTCATTCTACCGCCTGACAGTCATCAGAAAGCATCAGCTCAGATAAATGTAACCACAGAGAAGTCATGGTTTCGGGGAATAGCACCAGCATCCAGACTGTGGCATCAGGTCGTAGAGCCTCAGATGTGTGTTTTTCAGGTGAATGGGACCTGAAAACACACTTGCTGCTGTTTGACTAATCCTTTGGAACAGAAATATGTACAGAGCCTTTTGACGGATTAGGGCCCTTTAAAGAAGACTTGACGTGAACATCCTACATATGGCTCCTTTAAAGGCACAACGTTCTAATGTGTAAATTCAGGGTCTTTTGTTTTCTGCATAAACATGTTTTTGTCGTTGGGAACAGGCCCTGGACACTGTCAGCGGAGAACGGAGAGAGCGGGCGATATGGCTTATCCTCTGCAGCCTGTTTCTCATCACAAACCCCCTCTCTCTCCATTTCTCGCTCTCTCTTCCTCTCTCTCTCTCTTCCTCTCTCTCTTTCTCTTCTCTCTCTCTTTCTCTCTCTCTCTTTCTCTTCTCTCTCTCTCTATCTCTCTCTCTTTCTCTCTCTCTCTCTCTATCTCTCTCTCTTCCTCTCTCGCTCTTTCTCTCTCTCTCCCTCTGTCACATCTGTCTGTGTCACATCTGTCTGTGTCACATCTGTCTGTGTTCTGCGAACAGTTTGCAGCAAAAATAAAAGGTTGTGTAAAGATTCATTTGTGTGATTTAAAAATGTCTAAACGGTCCTGACTCTGACACTGACTCTGACACTGACTGGTAAACCACTGATAAAGTACCATGTGGCCACCGCGTGGAGCTAATCTCACTGGTAAAGTACCATGTGGCGCAGAACTAAAAAAGGTCTCGTTATGATTCTCAAATCATTAACGACAAAACAAGGAATAAAACCAGGATTTCTATCTTTGTGAAAAAGGTGTTGGTTATAGATTTGTTGTTGACAAAACTCTTGTCTATTCAGCTGTTATGGTCCCAGCTGGATTCGTCTGCATATCTGGCAACCTGAGTCAGGGAGAGTGGGAGAGGCTGCAGTACCACTTTTGGCCACATGTTTACACACTGCTGCTTTAACTTTCATTATAAAATATTGCAGATGTGTAGATATGAATGCAGGTGGCACAGATTCCGCAGCATGTAAACAGTAAAAGTAGATAATAATTGATAATAAGAGTAGAGCAGCTGATTCACTTAACCATCGTTCGAGTTCCAGGTGTTGGAGGAAAGTGTGACCTTCGCACTAGAGTTATTCCCACCTCACTATGTGGCCGTTTAAGCAGCAGCCAGACCTGTCAAATCAGAGTCCACATCCACCATCACAAACCCACCTCCACACAACACCCACGTCCTTGAAAGCCCCATGGATCCCTCCAGCCAAAGCTCCCGCCCCTCACCTGTCAATCATCCAGGAGAGGAGGCAGTAAAGGGTTAAAACCTTCCTGTGTGTTGGCAGGAAGTGGAGCAGGTGGTGCAGGAAGTGAAGCAGGTGGTGCAGGAAGTGGAGCAGGTGGTGCAGGAAGTGAAGCAGGTGGTGCAGGAAGTGAAGCAGGTGGTGCAGGAAGTGGAGCATGTGGTGCAGGAAGTGAAGCAGGTGGTGCAGGAAGTGGAGCAGGTGGTGCAGGAAGTGAAGCAGGTGGTGCAGGAAGTGAAGCAGGTGGTGCAGGAAGTGAAACAGGTGGTGCAGGAAGTGGAGCATGTGGTGCAGGAAGTGAAACAGGTGGTGCAGGAAGTGGAGCAGGTGGTGCAGGAAGTGGAGCAGGTGGTGCAGGAAGCAGGGAGAGCCACTTCCTGTTGTGGAGAGACCTTTAAAGGGTTTGCTTTTCCTTCAGTGCTGCCGCAGGAAACATCAGGACTTTGGTGTTTATTGGAAAGAGCTTTTATTGTGTGTGAGGTCTGCACTGCAACCGGAAGTCAGACCATGAATAATAATATAAATATAAATAATAATCTGTATGTTAATGAATGATAACGGTTGTCCATCTCCCCCATTGTTTGTGTTTAAATATTAACAAAAGTTTAATCATTATCATTATTATATAATTATTATTGTTGTTTTAATTGCGGGATGTACTTTGCTATGACTTTATTTTAAATTAATAATTAATTAATACAATAATTAATCATGAATAAAAAAATAATCAAATTGACTCATTAACAATAACTAATTACTCATTACTAATACAATAATACAACAATAGAGAAAAATATTAATATCAGATACTTCCTGAGTTCTTCTAAATATATATGCACTTGCTTCATAAACAGTATTTCTAACATTAAAACAAAATATATGTTTTCCTTGGTTCACCCGCGTTTTGGAAACGGTCCGAGTGGGTCCGACCCTGGGTCCAGCCTCTGGGTCCAGCCTCTGGGTCCAGCCCCTGTGTCCTGGATCCGCAGTCCTGGGTCCAGCCCCTGAGTCCTGGGTCCAGTCCTGGTCCAGCCCCTGGGTCCTGGTCCAGCCCCCGCAGCTGCAGCACCTCCTGCTGCTGGAGTCAGTCGAAGATGCTCTCGGCTCCAGTCTCACTTCTCTGCAAAGCGCTTTCTCAGACGGACTTCACCCGAGGCTCAGTGTGACGGACCCGGACATAGGTTCAGGACCCGAGCATAGGTTCAGGACCCGCTGGAACTTTACGAAGCGAAATGAGTCGCGTTTGGATGAACTTTGAACGCATCCTTTGCAGCCGGGCGCGGACGGAGGAGAAATGAGGAGGTGCAGAGGATGATGTCTCACAATGAACACAGGTTTGTTCTGCATGTCCGACCTCCACTAGACTGTAATGTACTGTAAATATATATATATATTTATCTGTATATTTACGAGTCATTCATTCATTCATCCGCGGCTCTTCTAGTCACTTACAGTCGACTCGTTCTTTTGGATAAATAACCTACATTTCTCTTATTTGTGATTTGAATTTGTAAAACTCGAAAGTAATCCTCCCTTTCATAAAGTACATGTCATTTAACTGGAGCCTACATGCTTTTCTCTTTATGGTTCTTTACCTTCATCCTGAACGGTCCGCTCCATCACAGCCCGGTCCTCTCCCGTTTATTTTACTTTTTACATTAAATTCTTGTTGCGTAATTCATATCCTGTTGTTTGGAGTCGGGGGCTCTGTGCAGGGCTTCCTTCTTCCTTCATTGTTTCTTGACTCACTCAAAGGAGCTGTTTAGTAGAAAACCTGCATTTGTGTTTTTTATGAGAGGAGAAGAATGACCAGAAGGAAGTCTATTTGTAATAAGTCATTCCTATTGGCTGAGAGTTCTTGGAGCCAGATGGGGCTCTCCTCTTTGGTAAAAACAAAAACAACACCTTTTACGAATTTGAATACTTTGAAATTCTGAAAACAAGAAAAAATGTATATCTTTATTTTGAATCAGTAGAAACTTTGGGCAATAATGGACACTCAGAGATAACAGGGCAGTAAAAGTTGAAAAGGATGTGCGTCAGGGCAGGTACTAAATAACAGGAAGAGCAGGGCCGTACATGGTGTGGGGACCATGGGTGTGTGTCTGCAATACGCCATTCCAGAAATAACACTTTGCCCCCTGATATCTCACCGTGTACATTCTCGCCAAGTTTTTACTGATTCCAAAAATATTTATAAATTTTTTCTTGTTTTCAGAATTTCATGATTAAAGTTGTAAGTGGGTTTCTGGGATTTTTTACCAAAGAACCATCCAAGAGCTCGGTTTCACTTCCTTAGATGTTGCTGTAATAAATTGCACATAACTGACTTTTCCTCAATAACAAAGTGAACGACTTTGGGAATCACTGAGTTTGCCGTTTGGGTTGAATTTTAAAGATAGTATGTATGTCATTTTCCAGACAGCGCAGTGTTATTGTTCCACTCTAAGTACCCTGTGGCTCTGTTGTTTTTCCTGCTGATAATGTCCAGTGCTGTGTGTGTGCTTCCTCTGTCTCACACACACACACACACACACACACTTTGCTTCAGAACTGATCCATTCAGCGACTGATCTTTACTCTTCTTTTCTCTGTGCACAGACCTTCAACAACTGCGTGTTCCTCAAGCCCATGTCTGCAGTCCTCTGACCATCGCAGTCCAGTCCACGCTGATGTCCGGCTCCTGCGTCCAGTCGCGTGGTCCCAAACCTCCTGTGGCGCCCAAGCCCAAACGCCCACTGAGTAATGGAGACGTGACTCACAGCAACGGGGACCGCCAGGGCTTCCACTTTCAGCCAGAGGACAAACTGGAGACGTACGAAGAGGGAGAGGTTTTCCATCACGACGATGCCACGGGAGAGAAAGAGTGTTCGAAGAAAGACCAGGAGGATCTGTGCAATGATGAGGACAGCGTTGGATCTGATGAAACGGTCAAAGCAGATGCTACTGAAGAGAACATGTGTCAGGATATGTTCCTACCTGAAGGTGGCGCTCTCACTGACGATGAGCTGTCCACCACACCTTTACCGTACACTACTGACACAGAGGAGAGTGGAGATGAAGACGTTAGAGGATCCACTTTGTACCAGACCTTAAATCAGGGGGAAGTTGACAATGACCTCGACCACAGTAAACCGTGTGGTGAGATAGAAGCAGATGGTTTTGACTTTGGATTCAGCCTTCTTCCCACAGTCACAGAAGAGAATACATACGATATGATTGGTCCGGTAGATGACGCTAGTGACACATGTGAGTCGTGTGGAACTGTGGAGACTGGAGATGTGGAAGTATGGCAGCCGGAACGAGCCACCAAGGATCTTTCTGGTTGTTTCCGATTCACCGCCAGCACCGAGGATGTATTTGGACCTTACTCCGTCATTGAATCGGTTCCAACGAATACAAACGACACTGCTGACCCAGAGTGGGAGCAGGACAATGCAGATGACGAACCAACAGAAGTGCAAACACATGAAACTACAAACCCAGAGCCTTTTTATGTGTCATCTGATGATGTCGACAAAATGGAGGATAAGCAAATCCTTGCAGGGAACGAGATGACTGAGATGGACAGAGGCGGTGAGTCAACCGATGAGTATGCAGACATCGATGAATCTTATTGCCCTAAAGATGATAACTTTGAGCATCTTGAAGGTGTCTCATCAGAGGACTATGTTGAGATCGGTGATGAGGAGACGGAGGAAGAATCTGAAAAGGAGTCTATCAAAGGTAAAAGTACAAAAGAGAGAACCTCCTTACAAGAAGAGGCCTTACAGAGTCAGAGAAGAAGCTGCCAGCCTCGGCTCAGGCTCTGCAACATTACTGTACCGGCTGATTTAGACTTGGGACGAACCCCGGAACTTACGAACAGAGTTGTGTTTGCCCACACCACCGAGGCCTTCGAGGAGGACATTGAGGAGCTGGACTGCCATATCGTGCCTTACTATGAAGACTCAGACTCTGACAGCGAGGAGCATATTTACGAAGAGGCTGGCTTCGACTCTGAGGGGGAGAACTTTCTGATGTTAGATCGTAAGTCTATAGTAACAAGGTCACGGTCTTATTCGGGTAAAGTTCCAGGATACGTCCCAGAGACCGTCCCAGAAGAGACGGGGACAGAATACCAGAACAATGATTACTACTCTGTTGCTTTGGAGAAGGGCGACGAAGCCGAGCAGCTGAAAGTGAACACCATTATCCCAACCACAAAATCTCGCCGCTTCTTGTTATCGTCACAATCAGCCGATGGTCCTGAGCTGACATTATCCACATCTTCTGAATTTGGATTTTCTAAAGATGAGGTGAAAATAAAGCGTAAAGATGATACTCTGTCTCTTCCTTGCGTGATGACCTCTTCAGGCAGTTTCTCCCAAAGGAGCTGCCATTCCTCCAGTGGGGTCTCCACACCGACGTCTTTAGCAGAGATACCGCCCCCATTTGAATTAGCCTTCATCACCAAAAGACCAGTTACCAAGAGTTCCCCTGCCCTCTTGATCCACCATGAGCCTAATGACCAAAACAAGAAAAAAAAAACCTCATTCAAGCGCTTTTTGACACTGAAGTTCAAAAGAAAGTCAGACTCCAAAGGGTTTAGTGAAGGAAGTGTCCGTTCATCGCGGTCGTCGTCTGAGTCAAGCCATCATGGTCCTTCAAGAGTCATCGAGCTGGACCGTAGGAGCACCGGGAGCTCTCCTCAACTCCTCTCTCATGTAGTCAACTCCCGTTCATCAGACCTTCCATCCACCATCGTCCTCCATAAAGACAAGCAGACGAGGAAAGGGGAATTTAAATGTTATGGGAGGGGTGTCGCCAGAGGAGAATCTTTCGAAGATCGCTCACGCCACTCCATGCTGTCTTTGCCCCTGACCAAACCACGGTCCATCTCCTTTCCCAGTGCAGACACTTCCGAATATGAAAACATACCAGCAATGAGTGCAGAGTATGAGAATATTCAGATCCCTGGGAGGCCAACCCGGTCACACACTGTCACAGGATTCTTTGAGAATCCAAACCGAATAACACAGCAGTGCAATGACAACGATGGATATGTGGATATGAACAGTTTCCCCGGGATTGAAAGCAAGATCCCTAAAGACGAGTCTGAAAGGTAAGGTGTTCTGCTCTTCTGTTCTTTACATAAGACATCAGTTATTTGTGTTTATTTACTGACACGTGTATGTCTCCCAACAAACCTGGCACTACCCATCCATGCCTCACAGTCACATGATGCTTGGGAGTTCACACTGTGCTTATTGGTATTTGTGTAAGACAAATGTTGAAGCTGCTTGAGAAAGGTCACTTCTGTAAAAAAACCAACAACAACTAATTTGAATTGGTTTTAGTTGGTTAAATCAATGTCAAATAGATAAATAAAAACCTTTGATATTGATGATACAGATACTGAAAATGGGGAATCCTTCTTAAAAAGCAAGACAACTATTAAACCTGTGACACATTGAAATAGAAGAGTATATGTATAAAAAGCTTCATGTTGGAGAGAAGATTGTGGACTTTAGGCAAGAGCAGATTAGAGGCTTTGTCCCGGGACCTGCAGTCTGTATGGATCAGTCTGAAGTGCACAGGATGCCTCAGTCTAAAGCCTCAGCCTAAAGCCTCAGTCTAAAGCCTCAGTCTAAAGCCTCAGTCTAAAGCCTCAGCCTAAAGCCTCAGTCTAAAGCGTCAGCCTAAAGCCTCAGCCTAAAGCCTCAGTCTAAAGCCTCAGTCTAAAGCCTCAGTCTAAAGCCTCAGTCTAAAGCCTCAGCCTAAAGCCTCAGTCTAAAGCGTCAGCCTAAAGCCTCAGCCTAAAGCCTCAGTCTAAAGCCTCAGTCTAAAGCCTCAGTCTAAAGCCTCAGTCTAAAGCCTCAGTCTAAAGCCTCAGCCTAAAGCCTCAGTCTAAAGCCTCAGCCTAAAGCCTCAGCCTAAAGCCTCAGTCTAAAGCCTCAGTCTAAAGCCTCAGTCTAAAGCGTCAGCCTAAAGCCTCAGCCTAAAGCCTCAGTCTAAAGCCTCAGTCTAAAGCCTCAGCCTAAAGCCTCAGTCTAAAGCCTCAGTCTAAAGCCTCAGCCTAAAGCCTCAGTCTAAAGCCTCAGTCTAAAGCCTCAGTCTAAAGCCTCAGCCTAAAGCCTCAGCCTAAAGCCTCAGTCTAAAGCCTCAGCCTAAAGCCTCAGTCTAAAGCCTCAGTCTAAAGCCTCAGTCTAAAGCCTCAGCCTAAAGCCTCAGCCTAAAGCCTCAGCCTAAAGCCTCAGTCTAAAGCCTCAGTCTAAAGCCTCAGTCTAAAGCCTCAGCCTAAAGCCTCAGCCTAAAGCCTCAGTCTAAAGCCTCAGCCTAAAGCCTCAGTCTAAAGCCTCAGTCTAAAGCCTCAGCCTAAAGCCTCAGTCTAAAGCCTCAGCCTAAAGCCTCAGCCTAAAGCCTCAGTCTAAAGCCTCAGCCTAAAGCCTCAGCCTAAAGCCTCAGTCTAAAGCCTCAGCCTAAAGCCTCAGTCTAAAGCCTCAGCCTATAGGGACAGATTAGCTGTCCTTTGGTTTTCAGATGCAGAGGTCATATATGGCTGCGGTCTTTCCCTGGTACATTTGTGGGGACACAGCAGGTAATGGAAATGGGAACCCCACGGAGCACAGGGGACTCACTTTACAGACCTCATTATGCACTGCAATTAAAAGTGTGGAGGCGAGACATTCTGCTCCATGAAAAGAGGAAGTGATGAAGCACGAGGAAGAGGTGAGAAAGGGAGAGGGTTGACCTGTTAATGAACCACCAACGTCACAGTTCAGTGTTTGTAATGTATGGGATGATGATGAAATACAGAAGAATTGGTTTTCTTTAGCATAGAACTGAAAATCTCCTTAAAAGTCATATTGAAGACATCTCTTAGTGCACCACTTGTGATTGCTTTTAGCTGACACTTATGGTTAGCTTTAGTGGGGCTTTTATTAAAGTGGCTCTCTCCAGCCCCGGAGCCTGAGGGCCCCGCGATTTACTGCAGTGTGTGATGGAGTGAGGAATCACCGCTTTAGACTGCGCCAAACGAGTGCAGCTGGTCGCGGCGCCGTCACGGTCACCACGGGCCACAGTCTTTCCCCGTCCTAATAAAATACTTGTGTTTGACGACCGGAGAGGAGCCAAAGAGACAAGTGCTCCTTAAAGACCTGCTCTACGGCACCACGAATGTGCTCGATAGTTTCTCAATCATGTTTAATGCTTCAGTTATATGCTTTAAGGACATTTATTTTATGGTTCATTATTGGTTCAACACTCTTGTCCCAATGTCCTGTGTTTGGGACAAAGAGTGCTTTTAAATTAGTCTCTATTCACTTATTGAGCCGCTCATTCTGAAACGCTTTGTTATTTAGAGCTTTTGAAACTGTTCCTGAAGAGCTAAAAATGTGTAGATATTTAAGATTTGGAGAAAATCATAGATTATAATATTATGATTGCAAATGTTGTTTTGTAATTATAAAAAAGAACCTACATTTTAAGGCTATTCTTCAGGAACAGTCTGGATTGACAGAACAATGGCTGAGTATCCAGATAAGGCCGCGGTGTCGCACTCACATGTTCATTACACAGACACTGCTCTCATGGGCTGGGGTCTTATCAGAGTGGTCCATTGTGCCGGGGTCTCCTCTGTCCTGCAGCTTCACCTTCAGAGCGCGTTGCCATGGACACCCCATCCTTTATGTTGACGTAGCCGCATGTTTGTGTATACATGTATATGGATGTGATTTTAACCTCTTCAAACCATGACACTGCTGCTGTCCTCTGCTGTGCCCTGATGAATGCAGAGTTCCCACAAAGAAACAGTGGATGTTTGTGGTCCAGAAATGGACCAAATGCCTTCAGAGCGAGGGCAACATGAAAGAGCAGTGCCCACAGAAGCCAACTCACAAAGCTGCTGTCTAAAGCTTGGCTCGTTTCCACTGCCTTGATTTATGTACAGCACCTCCGAGACGCTGCTCCAGCACCAGCTGAGCCGACCATGCAAACAGACACATTCATTAGCCAGCTGCACAAGGGTTCAAAGAAGAAAGAGAAGGTGCACTAATGATTTATCCCAGTCCCCAATAAGGTGTTTGTTTGCAAAACCATGTGGGCTCCTGTGCCTATTGCCGCTGAGAGCTGTTTAATCCCAGACACGACTCGTGCTGAGCAAGCAGTCTCTGCAGAACTGTCACAACAAGTGGCGTAGAACAGAAGTGAAATGATGAACAGGCATTCATGGAACAAAGTATAAGCATTTGTATGTGAGCACCACTTAAAGGAAAAAGAACATTCAGCATTTGTAAAGACACTGCCACAGAGTCAGCAGCTGTGGTTCTGGAATAATGCACACAAAACCAAATCCTTATATGCATTTATGTGTCTGAAAACCACTTCCTCAAACACAGTAGTGAGGATGTGACGCTCTGCTGCCCTCACCGGGATGAGGGAGCATCAGAAAAGCATTGTTCAGCGGCGGTGGCACGGTGAGGAGCGGCGGGGTGTGTGGCAGCAGCACGGGCGCCGTGCCAGACGCTTATAGGTCAGTGCCAGGTTCTCCCGAGGGAGGAAGTGGCCGCTCAGAGCTTCAGGCTGTTTACAGGAAATGCACTGAGGGAGAGGAGCTGAGGTGAGGAGGAGACAGAGGACGATAGGAGGAAGCAGGGTCACTGCGATCGCCACGGCAACAACAGCGGCGCATGTCATAAAGGACCGGCAAGTCTGTAGCTACATGGAGTCTGTAGTTACATGGAGTCTGTAGCTACATGGAGTCTGTAGTTACATGGAGTCTGTAGCTACATGGAGTCTGTAGTTACATGGAGTCTGTAGTTACATGGAGTCTGTAGCTACATGGAGTCTGTAGCAACATGGAGTCTGTAGTTACATGGAGTCTGTAGTTACATGGAGTCTGTAGCAACATGGAGTCTGTAGCAACATGGAGTCTGTAGTTACATGGAGTCTGTAGCAACATAGAGTCTGTAGTTACATGGAGTCTGTAGCTACATGGAGTCTGTAGTTACATGGAGTCTGTAGTTACATGGAGTCTGTAGTTACATGGAGTCTGTAGTTACATGGAGTCTGTAGTTACATGGAGTCTGTAGTTACATGGAGTCTGTAGTTACATGGAGTCTGTAGTTACATGGAGTCTGTAGTTACATGGAGTCTGTAGCTACATGGAGTCTGTAGCAACATGGAGTCTGTAGCAACATGGAGTCTGTAGTTACATGGAGTCTGTAGCTACATGGAGTCTGTAGCAACATGGAGTCTGTAGCTACATGGAGTCTGTAGTTACATGGAGTCTGTAGTTACATGGAGTCTGTAGCTACATGGAGTCTGTAGTTACATGGAGTCTGTAGTTACATGGAGTCTGTAGTTACATGGAGTCTGTAGCTACATGGAGTCTGTAGTTACATGGAGTCTGTAGTTACATGGAGTCTGTAGCTACATGGAGTCTGTAGTTACATGGAGTCTGTAGTTACATGGAGTCTGTAGTTACATGGAGTCTGTAGCTACATGGAGTCTGTAGTTACATGGAGTCTGTAGTTACATGGAGTCTGTAGCAACATGGAGTCTGTAGTTACATAGAGTCTGTAGCAACATGGAGTCTGTAGTTACATGGAGTCTGTAGCTACATGGAGTCTGTAGTTACATAGAGTCTGTAGCAACATGGAGTCTGTAGTTACATGGAGTCTGTAGTTACATGGAGTCTGTAGTTACATGGAGTCTGTAGCAACATGGAGTCTGTAGCTACATGGAGTCTGTAGTTACATGGAGTCTGTAGTTACATGGAGTCTGTAGCAACATGGAGTCTATAGTTACATGGAGTCTGTAGTTACATGGAGTCTGTAGCAACATGGAGTCTGTAGTTACATGGAGTCTGTAGCTACATGGAGTCTGTAGTTACATGGAGTCTGTAGTTACATGGAGTCTGTAGTTACATGGAGTCTGTAGCTACATGGAGTCTGTAGTTACATGGAGTCTGTAGTTACATGGAGTCTGTAGCAACATGGAGTCTGTAGTTACATAGAGTCTGTAGCAACATGGAGTCTGTAGTTACATGGAGTCTGTAGTTACATGGAGTCTGTAGTTACATGGAGTCTGTAGTTACATGGAGTCTGTAGTTACATGGAGTCTGTAGTTACATGGAGTCTGTAGTTACATGGAGTCTGTAGTTACATGGAGTCTGTAGTTACATGGAGTCTGTAGTTACATAGAGTCTGTAGTTACATAGAGTCTGTAGTTACATGGAGTCTGTAGTTACATGGAGTCTGTAGTTACATAGAGTCTGTAGTTACATGGAGTCTGTAGTTACATAGAGTCTGTAGCAACATGGAGTCTGTAGTTACATGGAGTCTGTAGTTACATAGAGTCTGTAGTTACATAGAGTCTGTAGCAACATGGAGTCTGTAGTTACATGGAGTCTGTAGTTACATAGAGTCTGTAGTTACATAGAGTCTGTAGCAACATGGAGTCTGTAGTTACATGGAGTCTGTAGTTACATGGAGTCTGTAGTTACATGGAGTCTGTAGTTACATAGAGTCTGTAGCAACATGGAGTCTGTAGCTACATGGAGTCTGTAGTTACATAGAGTCTGTAGTTACATGGAGTCTGTAGTTACATGGAGTCTGTAGTTACATGGAGTCTGTAGTTACATGGAGTCTGTAGTTACATAGAGTCTGTAGTTACATAGAGTCTGTAGTTACATGGAGTCTGTAGTTACATGGAGTCTGTAGTTACATGGAGTCTGTAGTTACATGGAGTCTGTAGTTACATGGAGTCTGTAGTTACATGGAGTCTGTAGCTACATGGAGTCTGTAGTTACATGGAGTCTGTAGTTACATGGAGTCTGTAGTTACATGGAGTCTGTAGTTACATGGAGTCTGTAGCAACATGGAGTCTGTAGTTACATGGAGTCTGTAGTTACATAGAGTCTGTAGTTACATGGAGTCTGTAGTTACATGGAGTCTGTAGTTACATAGAGTCTGTAGTTACATGGAGTCTGTAGTTACATGGAGTCTGTAGTTACATGGAGTCTGTAGTTACATGGAGTCTGTAGTTACATGGAGTCTGTAGTTACATGGAGTCTGTAGCTACATGGAGTCTGTAGCAACATGGAGTCTGTAGCAACATGGAGTCTGTAGTTACATGGAGTCTGTAGCTACATGGAGTCTGTAGTTACATGGAGTCTGTAGCTACATGGAGTCTGTAGTTACATGGAGTCTGTAGTTACATGGAGTCTGTAGTTACATGGAGTCTGTAGCAACATGGAGTCTGTAGTTACATGGAGTCTGTAGTTACATGGAGTCTGTAGTTACATGGAGTCTGTAGTTACATGGAGTCTGTAGTTACATGGAGTCTGTAGCAACATGGAGTCTGTAGTTACATGGAGTCTGTAGTTACATGGAGTCTGTAGTTACATGGAGTCTGTAGTTACATGGAGTCTGTAGTTACATGGAGTCTGTAGCTACATGGAGTCTGTAGTTACATGGAGTCTGTAGCTACATGGAGTCTGTAGTTACATGGAGTCTGTAGCTACATGGAGTCTGTAGCAACATGGAGTCTGTAGCAACATGGAGTCTGTAGTTACATGGAGTCTGTAGTTACATGGAGTCTGTAGTTACATGGAGTCTGTAGTTACATGGAGTCTGTAGTTACATGGAGTCTGTAGTTACATAGAGTCTGTAGTTACATGGAGTCTGTAGCTACATGGAGTCTGTAGTTACATGGAGTCTGTAGTTACATGGAGTCTGTAGCAACATGGAATCTGTAGTTACATAGAGTCTGTAGCAACATGGAGTCTGTAGTTACATGGAGTCTGTAGCAACATGGAGTCTGTAGTTACATAGAGTCTGTAGCAACATGGAGTCTGTAGTTACATGGAGTCTGTAGTTACATGGAGTCTGTAGTTACATGGAGTCTGTAGCAACATGGAGTCTGTAGTTACATGGAGTCTGTAGCTACATGGAGTCTGTAGCAACATGGAGTCTGTAGCAACATGGAGTCTGTAGTTACATGGAGTCTGTAGTTACATGGAGTCTGTAGTTACATGGAGTCTGTAGTTACATGGAGTCTGTAGTTACATGGAGTCTGTAGTTACATGGAGTCTGTAGTTACATGGAGTCTGTAGCTACATGGAGTCTGTAGTTACATGGAGTCTGTAGTTACATGGAGTCTGTAGCAACATGGAATCTGTAGTTACATAGAGTCTGTAGCAACATGGAGTCTGTAGTTACATGGAGTCTGTAGCAACATGGAGTCTGTAGTTACATAGAGTCTGTAGCAACATGGAGTCTGTAGTTACATGGAGTCTGTAGTTACATGGAGTCTGTAGTTACATGGAGTCTGTAGTTACATGGAGTCTGTAGTTACATGGAGTCTGTAGTTACATGGAGTCTGTAGCAACATGGAGTCTATAGTTACATGGAGTCTGTAGTTACATGGAGTCTGTAGCTACATGGAGTCTGTAGTTACATGGAGTCTGTAGTTTTTTTATTTTTATTTTTTTATTTTTTATTTGGGCATTTAGAAGACAAAAGAATAATAATGTGAAGAAGAAAAAAATAAATAAAAAATAGCCCAAAAGGGAGTTGGCAGAAGCTGAAACAGCTTATCTGGGCCTACCCCCTATTGCCAATCAAATGCATAACACTTACACATACATACCTTGATATATACATAATTCACATACGTACATTAATATAATACACATTTATCCATACACATATATACACATACATATATACATACACACACATATATACACATAGATATACATATACCCACATGTACATATACATACACATAGATACACATACGTACATATCTACATATTATTAATTATGAATATTATTATGTATTATTTGATATTATTTTCAAATATTACTATTTTTTATTATTATGGTACTAAGTTTCTTTTTGTTCAATGTATTTTTCCAGAGCATTTATTTTGAAGGTTTTTTTAAATTGTTGAATAGAGATAGAGCTTTTTGAGGCCTCGTCCAGGCCATTCCAAAGCTGAACCCCCCTCACAGATATACAGTGACCCTTAATATTAGTTCTTACATTTGGTTTTTGGAAAACTTTGGAGCCTCTGAGATGGTATGTACTCTCCCTGGGTTTGAACCGGTCTTGGATACGCTGAGGCAGCAGGTGATTATGGGCCTTATACATTACAATTGCAGTGTTTAAATCAACAAGATCGTAAAACTTTAGTGTTTTAGATTTAAGAAACAAGGAATTAGTGTGTGCATAATAATCAGCATAATGTACGATTCTGATGGCTTTCTTTTGGAGTGTGAAAATTGATTTGGTGTTAGATTTATAATTATTACCCCATATTTCAATACAGTAATTGAGATATGGCAGTATGAAGGAATTATATAACATATTAAGTGCATCATGATTTACAGAGTTTTGTATTTTGTATAACATACCTATACTTTTTGAGAGTTTTGTCTTCAGAATGTTTATGTACAGCTTCCAATTTAATTCATGATCTATGTTGACTCCCAAGAATTTAGTAGAATACACCCTTTCAATTTCCACATCAGATATTTGTATGTGGCATGGTGTGTCAATATTTCTGTTTCCAAAGATTATGTATTTAGTTTTATTCAAATTTATAGATAATTTGTTTGTATCAAACCACTGTTTAAGAATAACAAGTTCATTCTTGACTGTTGGAATGAGTTTCTTGAGATCTGGCC